ATAACTAGAATGTCTTTGCATTGGAACCCACACAGGCATCGGAATAAAGGAAGGCCAAAAAACACATGGAGAAGAGAGCTGGAGAATGAAGTTAGAAAGATGGGGGGGGGGACATGGGGAGAGCTCCATGCAAAGACGAAGGATAGAATGACTTGGCTTGAGTTGGTTGAGGGCCTATGCTCCGCTAGGCAGAAGAAGAAAAAGAATACATTCTAACTCTCTTAATAAGATTGCTAGCAACATAATCAGGTATTTTATTGTTTGTGCTGTCACCTCTGAGCAATATGTAAAAATGTTACTGAAAAGTTATTATATGCTGGAATATTATGTTTGATTTTGTTGTGTCTGTATAGAACAGATAACAGTTTGAGTACCTAAAACCACTGAGAGAAATATTTCCTACAATGGATGTATGAACAAACTGTTCAGATGGAAAACTACAACTTCAGACCGTTGTTTGAAGTTTTATCATATGACTCTGTTAATGGAAAGCAGTAAACTCTGCCACTGTCATCTATTATTACTAATTGGAAAGGCATGTACACACTCATCATCATCATCTTGTGCCCTGCCAAATGTACACACTATTGTCCAGCTTGTATGCTTGCTTTTTTTCTTGGTAATCGGCTCTGTGGCTAAGTCGACGCGAACGCTTCGTAATGCCGGGATGCTGGGTTCGATCCCAGCTGCGGGCCATACACCTTGAGTTGGTTTCGACAGTGGTATCAGGGGGCCAACCGTCCAGGAAGAAATGGCAAACTACTGTATGTAAATTTGCCTAGAGAAACCACACAACAGCCAGGGGCTATTGGGGTTGGTTTTGCAACGTCCTGTAATGGATACGCAACTAACCTAACTTTTTTTCTTGGTGGACCCAACTACCTGAGGCTAAACTGCTATGATAAAGCTTCTCTTGAGACATTGAGGAAGGTACCATTGAGGAAACATACCTGGTCAAACATAGCAGCTTTTGATTTTGAAAACTTTAAAGGGTCCCAGAATAGACAGAAAAGCAGCTCTGTTGCTTATAAGTTAGCAAACACATTACTCCTTTGCTATACCAAAGATTGATTCCCAATGTGGGGCATTTAGAAAATGGTAAAATGGAAAGCGGCTGTCTTCAATTGCATAGGGTTGTTCTCCATTTGGGAGCACGGATCTGGGATCAATATTAGTTAGTTAGTTTTTCCTCACAGCTCTCCATGTCTGGCGGTTCACTGCCACCTGATTTAGGTCTTAGATATTCATTAGGCCCATAGTTGAGCCTTTCCTGATGATGGTTCTATGCAGAGTCTCTCTTTAGTCTTCCCCATTTTCTTGTCCCTTCAGAGCCAATATTATTGTTCTAGAACTAATGCAGGGTTTTTTAAAGACTGCAGAACTTGAAGCTCCAGGATGGGGGGGGGGGGGGGGGGGGGTTGAAAGAATACTACCATTTGCAGATGTTGTTTGTAAGAGACAGTTCAATTTTAGGAAGGGGAAGAAAAGCAAATGTGCAGTATTTAGATTTTATGTTTGTGAGCAGTCAATTAAATATGATATGAGGTTAAATAGTTATAGATCAAGAGAAGTCATTTGATCAAGTTAACAGATGCACGCTATTGAAGATTCTAGAAGAATATGGTAAACAGGGCCAACTGTTAAATACACACACTTAAGAAATTAATGAACTGTTCTTTTGCAGATAATCACTGTCTAATACACCAACAAGACTAGAACCTACAATGCCATACTGATACTGTTGTATTATTAAGTGCAGTTTCAAATAGCTTGAAAAAAAGCACAGCCCAACACGTTATGACTGTAACAGACTCAAAGAGCATGCTTCGGAAAACTGAAACTGGTATCCTGCACACAGAGTGCTTCCTCATGTCTGACTACTTGCAAGTTCTAATCCTGATGTTACTATTACTAGCTATGTTCTAAAAAGTAAAAAAACAATCATTAATACTAAATTTTAATATTGTAACACAAAAACATTATTGAACTGAATCTATTGATTAAGATAAAAGCTGACTGTTGACACAATGATCACGATTGTGGAGCAATTGCGCGAATTAACATTAATGTTAAAAACAATAAATTCCTAGTTCACGGACCAAATAACATGAATTCGATATTCTGATGTCACATTTTCCTGTAAGTCTCAGTGATAGAGATCATGGCATGAGTTAACAGATACACATGTTTTGTTAGGGTGCGGGGAATGTATTCCATTTAATGCGAAATTCTTTTTGAAGGATTTTTTCTGGAGTTCGAACGGTGTCATGACCCATTTTGTTTAGTATTTCCAGGGTGAGAGAGTTAAGGCATGGGCCTTAAGGGCACTTGGTACTAGCTGATGGACGGTGTGGCCAATACTATGCTGACTGCTTTGACTTACCCCCATCTTGTCTAGTTCCCAATTTAGACTGGATTATCTGGGATCCCGGGTCAAGTGGGGGGGGGGGGGGGGAGAAATATTCCTTGCCTTAATGGGAATTCTATCACACAGCCACTGGGTTAGCAGGATTATGTGTGTAACATGACAGCATACATAAAATAAAGCTGGTGCTATATTTCCTGTCTGGTAAATAATTTCTTATAGCTTGAAAAGGAAAATGGCATAATAAATGGACAAACAGAAAACTAAAGCAACTGAAAACAAGAATAATAAATGAATTTGCAAAGTAAACTGTAACACAAGGCACATTGATACATTTGTATACCATTTTCACATTAAACTGGACACTTTTTCAGGCCATCTAGGACATTTTTCACATCAGACTGGATGATTTTCGACTTCTCAGCACATGCTCCACAAGACAAGGAGAAGTGCATCTTCACTGATGAGTGTGGATTCAATCTTCATCTGCGATGGACACAGGCTCGCTCGAGAAGAGGGACACAGTCAAACATTATCCTGCCCACAGTGAGAGGTCGCATGGTGACACTAACTGTGGCGATTAACAACCAAGGCATTGTTCAATCAAAGATCATCAATGACGGCATCTGCACTGGTGCACAGTTCTGCACATTGGTCAAATAGCTTCCTCCGAAGTCGGAGTACATCTGCCGGAGAGGCGGGGAACGAGTACTGCAAACAAATAAGCCAGTAAAACGGATGTACACGCAAAACTCAGGTCAAGGTAAAAGCCAAAAGTCCATTTTGGACGAACAACCGTGAATTACCGTCGGAATTCACAGCCGGTGAACAAGAAGAAGAAGAAAGGTCAAATAGCTTGGGCATATATAGGTAGCAGGGAGGATCTGAATGGTGCATGGCTGATAATGGACAAGCCAGAATCCACAAACCAGATGATCTACGGAAAATTCCTGGGCTGGTCCTATCATCTAGAGTTTGTGTCACCTGACTATTCTATACTGAACCCGACAGAAAATGTGTTCACCAAGGTGAAGCCATCGGTGAAGAGCCTGCTGAAAAACCGGACCCCTGACCTTACACAAAGCACGGTCATTGAAGAAAGCATTAGAACAGTATATCTATATATCTATATATATAAAACACAGCAAGACTGAACAAATTAGGTCCTCCACATGATGATGAGGAACTTGACGACAGCAGCAACAAGACAGCCTTTCATAAACTTATTGTCACCTTGTAAGGTAGGATTTTCTTTGTCACAATACATTACTTTCTTGGTTGATAAGTATTAATTGTTGAAAACAAAGTGTGTCCAGTTTTCTATAAAAAGTTTGATTTGAAATTCGTCCAGTTTGATTTGAAAAACATCCTGGCTGGTTGGAAAATCGTCCAGTTTGGTTTGAAAAGTGAAAATGGTATAAATACTTTACATACACAAAAAAGAAAGCAAATGAAAAAATAGTACTTTGCAACAAAACAAAACTTTGGTAGCAAATATGCTATGAATAAAGGACAAAGTTAAACAAGAAAACATTAGTTTCACAGGAAAAGCATCACCTATAAACTTGTGTCAAATCAAATCACATAAGGATAACTGACCGCTGTCATAAAAACAGGTGAATATGAACATGTTTTTTTTTTTTTCCCTAAATGTTTTTGGGGGAATGCTCCTTGATATCCACAAAACACCACAGACATCTGATGAGCCAGCTTTCTATGGGTGTCAAGTGAATGAAAACAGATCCCATATGTGTCACTTGAAACAAAAGGTTATGAGCAGGGATCTGTCAAAATAAACTTACTGAAAAGCAAAACAAAAGAGGAGAGTGGCTGGTCTGACATTTGAATACATTCTCTTATCTTTGATGCTACTTATCTTCTTGCCATTTTTTTTTTAAATATTGTGTATGTGATCATAAAAGTAAGTCATAGTGTTTCTTCTTCTTCTTAATTTTTGCCCACATGATAGATATCTTCAGATATGTGTCTGTATTTGCCTTTAATATTGTTTAAGTAGTGAAGATTTTGTCACCAAACACTTACGTTTATAAACCAAGACTTGGTCACCACACAACTGCCATTGTTTTAACGTATCCTGGCAAAAGTAACCCACATGTGACAATCCTTCATGTGTATGTGTATATATATATATATATATATATATATATATATATATATATATATATATATATATATATATATATATATATATATATATATATATATATATATATATATATATATATATATATATATATATATATATATATATATATATATATATGTTTAAGAAAAAAAAATTTTTTTTTTAATTAATAACATTTACTAAAGGTAGTGTTGTATATATCAAATCCTTCATTCTTTTCTGCACTTTAAAAAAGACTAAACTTACTTTGCTGTCTTAAACACCATTTGGCTTTTCAGTTAAAGTACAACATGCGTGGCACTCTGGTTATTTGCAGTCTTAGACATTACAAGTTAGGAACAAGAATATCTCTATAGAACTTGCAGACCATGGATCTACATGATATACATTTATAGAAGTAACAAATAGACAATATCGAATCAAGTAACTTTGAAGTGATCATCAATAACTGCACTGGAAAGTTCAATACAATTTGTGTGTGTGTTGATTTCACAGCTTATCCAGTTTGTTCTCCTTACCAGCTGTAGTATGAAATAATGAAGGATGATATGTACTACCTGAAAATGCTGATGGCTGACTTTTGGATCTTTGTCTACCTTTCTGCTCATCTTTTTGTTTTGAGACAATTCTTTCCACATGTCCCTCCTCATCAGAGTAACCTGGATGACTTTCCCTAGACATGCGGCGTATAGGCGATGAAGAAAAACCTGGCCAGTGAAAAGAGCTTTCCACATTAGACTGTGCTCTCCACCGGGTATCTATGGATGCCTGTGTTTTGTCTGTATGTGCTTGTTTATAATTCAGGTTTGTAGCTTGTGTATGAGTTTCATGAAAGTTTTCACTCTCGGCCTGTGAAGTAATCAGCCACTCATCATCAGTTTTACCTGCAGACATTGGGATTCCTGATTCTCTGGTGCTTAAGCCCTGAGAATGCTGTACCTGAACCTGTTTAAACTGCACATCCGTACTGGATTCAGGCTTTGATATGCGCCTAATTTTTGAAGCAGTTTGTACAGAACTAGAACTGCTCTTTGCATCATCTCCACTGAAGATAACATCTTTCTCAAGTGATAATTTTCTATCAACAGCTCTCACATTTTCTGAAAATGAAGGGTCAATATCCTCACTATAGTAATTAAAGTCTAAATGATTACTTCCCTTGGTTCCGCTTGAAAAACTGGCAGCTAATGACCCTGCCGGATATGAATCTGGAGAGTTGGTTTCCTCACTGCTCATGTAAAATAACTTGTTTTTTTGTTTCTCTGGTTTCAGCTCATCTTCACCAGGTGAGGTAGCTCCAAGAAGATTATCAGAGTCAGGTGATGTGACGCCAGTGCTGTCCGCACCCCCGTTGTGATTGCCATAGTAATCATCATTTATCTGGATCTCGTCATCTTCAGCAGCAAATGTCAGGGTAAATTTGAGGGTGCCATTCAGGATATCACGAACCTAGTCAAGAATAATCAAACAGAACATTAACAGGCAATATGTGCAGATTAAGTGCTTTGGCCATCTTGTTAGAATTCCGCAAGATCAAATACCACCACAAGCACTACATCTTAGAAGATCAGCTGCAAGAGGATAGCCGAGGAAAAACATAGATTGACAACATTAAAGACACTCTGCGCCTTCACGGCATGACAATAGCCAGTGGCAGCCAACGTGCACTGGATCGCAAATTATTCCTCACCACGACGCTTAACGACAGAAGTGGTTTATGATGATGCGGATGATATGTAAAGCAGTGTTGTTACACAAATGTCAGACACGAACAATAAGCAGACAAGCTGAAAAACATTTAATGACAGCGGAGATGTTTTTTCTCCAGAAGAACGCACAGAATATCACTGAATGGTAGAAAAACAAATGAGGCAGTCCTCCTTGAGATGACGAAAGTAGTAAACTGATGAGAACAATGAGACATTTGAGAGTCATCACTTGTCAGACATGTTATGTAAAGGAATGGAGTCAAGAACTTGGTAACAAGAGGCAAGATTGATGGAAACAGAGCAAGAAGAAAGCAAAGATTTAGATACTTGGAAGTTTTAGTCATTTGGATGACAGAAGACCAAAACACCAACCTGATCCGGGATTTATGTGAAATGGTAAAACATGACAACCGATGCTTGTTGGCACACAGCATATATATGCACACATGCACAAACACAAAAGCATGCATACAAGCACACACACACACACACACCTTTTTTTAATCTATCAGAGAATCTGCCTCTTAAAGAATTGTGTAAGTTAAAAATCTTTCTCAAGTATATTTTCAACAACAAAAATTACTCCATTGCTTGTTCTATTTTACACTGTCAATCTTTTAATTATTTTTTTTAATTTTGCTAACTTTAAATTCGTTACCCCCATTTGGTAGTGGGTGGCAAGTTATGTGACAGTTTTCAAACATATCTTGTATTTGTTTTTTTAACAGAATATCTGCTTTAAGTAAACAAGTAGTAAAGTTTCCATTTCTTCCATTACTTTACTTCTTTGAAATCACCATACAGACATTGCTTTGGCATCACCGAGTCCTTAAAAAAATCTGCTATCTTGAGATTTGTAGCCAAGGTGGACTTAGACAAGTTATACTGCTTGCACAAATCAGTTTACCTGACTACTTTCTCATAATTTTCCGCATTCTCTTTTTTAATTTATATTAGGATTTTCTTCTTTTCTTCTTTCTTACTTTTCTTTGGCCCCATTTTGGAAATAATACACAATGTCTAAATAAAAATTTGGAACTGTTTGTCTGAACACCCTGTGCAAGTATAGAAACTAATTGTATAGTTAGATACAAATACCAGAAAAGATATACACATGCAAAAAGCAAATATGTAGTGCAGCAGGTACCACTCTTTGTGTCATAGTCTAGATGCAAAGACATAGTAACAAGAAAATTGCGGACATGTGCAGTGCATCATAATTTCTTTCTCGAATCCAGGTTGTACGTAGACACAAAAATGAGATAAGAAAGAATTGTGTATATTGAAAAGTTAATATGTGGACCAGCTTGTCAGTTAAAGTACCACTGTATCAGATTATCAGTTTCAGTGTTAGCAAAGTGCTCAATGTAATGCTTGTCTCTGTTCTTAGTTAAGATTTCATAAATATGGTGGCGAAAGTGCTCCGAAAAATTATTGCTCAATGGGAGTTGTAGTGGCCCAGTGGTTAGTTCATATGCTGTGAAGTGGTGAGTGGTTAGTACACTTGCTGTAAAGAGAGTGGTTCAGGTTCAGTGGTTAGTACATTCGTTGGACATTGGTTCTGGTTCAATCCCCAACAGAGGCAGGATAATCTGTTCAGAGCAGTATTGTCATAGGGTCAACTCGGCCTCATGAGAATGGTCAGGGTGGCCAAGACAACAAAGGAAACTAGCAATCCTACCTCATATGTTCTTCTTCTTCTTCTTCTCTTCCACCTTGTACCTCATCGAAGTGTCGGGGGGAGATGTAATGTTCGTTGATGAGCTCTGTCAAGAGCACTATTAAGACAGATGTTTATTTCTGAAAGGCTGTTCCTAATGCCATCACTACATATTTTCCCAGGTCTTCCACTCGCTCAATACCCATTGCAATGTTTTAGTGTAGCTCTCTGTGGCAGATAGTACCAGGGCATTCTTTTAAGGTGTCCAAACCACTTCTTTTGTTGTTCTTTGATGACCTTCAAGACTGGCTTTATTCCTAGCATTCGTCGTGATTTCGTATTCTGTCTTTCCTTGAAACTCCTGCAGTTCTCCTAAGGTTTTTCATCTCTGTTGTCACAATTTTATGTTCACTGGAGGATGTAAGTCTCCACATTTGGCATTGATAGCATAGTGTTGGCCAAAACCTTGTATGTTGTGGTCTAGAAAATGTGATGGCTGAATACTTCATACCTCCACAGTGTTAACTACTAAGGGATTACATTTACTTTTTAAACATGTAAAAGTGGAATAAGAGACAGCAACAGAAGTAATTGTTTACAGACAATAATGCCAAAATCATAAGACTAACCAGCTTAAGTCCAGCTAAAGACACCATGATATCATCATCCACTTCAATGTTCTGTCTGGAAAGGTCTTGCTGAAGGCGACCTGTATGAGCGATGGTTTAAAAATTGACTGACAAACACATTTAATTCGAGACTTGCAGTGACTTGAGAAAATACTGGTTCAATGGTATTCAGTGATAAATACAACTCTTTATTAGCTGTTATATTTATTAATAATTTGTTTTGCAACTGTGTGGCTTTGGTGGAAGTAATTTCTTGATATATGTTAAACCTGGATATTCAAAGAAGTCATCACTGACAGTATTTTAGGGATATGTGTAAAGTGAGCACTCTAGAATAAACTATGGCAGAAAACTGATAAGCTGCAGGTTAAGTTTAATTCGTTGTGTCTAAAGTCTGAAAAAAACGTGTCCCAGTCCTTCCATTTTAGAGGGTTTCCTGTGTTTTTAGAGAGAAAAATGTATATATTTGTAAACTTTACTTAGGCTGTTTCTAGGGTCCACCTCTTCAGCCAACTATGTTTCTTTATTTACAGTTATTATTAGCTGCCTAGCTATTCTGATAGGGGTGGGAGGGGCAAGAGAGAGAGAGAGAGAGAGAAATGTACAGAATGCAAAAACTATTTTTTAAAGTGTTTTTTAATGAAACACACACCCACGCATGCGTGCACACGGACAAAATACACACTCATATACACACAAACACACACACCCACGCATGCGTGCACACGGACAAAATACACACACATATATACACAAACACACACCCACGCATGCGTGCACACGGACAAAATACACACACATATACACACAAACACACACCCACGCATGCGTGCACACGGACAAAATACACACACATATAAACACAAACACACACCCACGCATGCGTGCACACGGACAAAATACACACACATATACACACAAACACACACCCACGCATGCGTGCACACGGACAAAATACACACACATATACACACAAACACACACACCCACGCATGCGTGCACACGGACAAAATACACACACATATACACACAAACACACACACCCACGCATGCGTGCACACGGACAAAATACACACACATATACACACAAACACACACCCACGCATGCGTGCACACGGACAAAATACACACACATATACACACAAACACACACCCACGCATGTGTGCACACAGACAAAATACACACTCATATACACACAAACACACACCCACGCATGCGTGCACACGGACAAAATACACACACATACACACACAAACACACACAAAGTGGAAGCCCCCTTTTTTCTTTAAACTACACCTGGCATTTCAGAAAAAAATCACACAGGTTCCTATTGGACCCTAACTTAGTAAACTATTGCAAAAAATAATCTAGCAAACTAAAGCAACTGCCTATCCAAGCTCCGACACCTAGATCATGTTGTTTAAAGAGAATCATAACAATTATTTTGAGAAAGCAAAAGGGAGAAAAAAAAACACTCACCAATATGCACATCTATCTCAGTGAGACAAACACTCACCAATATGCACATCTATCTCAGTGAGACAAACACTCACCAATATACACATCTATCTCAGTGAGACAAACACTCACCAATATGAACATCTATCTCAGTGAGACAAACACTCACCAATATGAACATCTACCTCAGTGAGACAAACACTCACCAATATACACATCTATCTCAGTGAGACAAACACTCACCAATATGAACATCTACCTCAGTGAGACAAACACTCACCAATATGCACATCTATCTCAGTGAAACACACCAATATGCACATCTACCTCAGTGAGACAAACACTCACCAATATGCACATCTATCTCAGTGAGACAAACACTCACCAATATGCACATCTATCTCAGTGAGACAAACACTCACCAATATACACATCTATCTCAGTGAGACAAACACTCACCAATATGAACATCTATCTCAGTGAGACAAACACTCACCAATATGAACATCTATCTCAGTGAGACACACACTCACCAATATGCACATCTATCTCAGTGAAACACTCACCAATATGCACATTTATCTCAGTAAGACAAACACTCACCAATATGCACATCTATCTCAGTGAGACACTCACCAATATGCACATCTATCTCAGTAAGACAAACACTCACCAATATGCACATCTATCTCAGTGAGACAAACACTCACCAATATACACATCTATCTCAGTGAGACAAACACTCACCAATATGAACATCTATCTCAGTGAGACAAACACTCACCAATATGAACATCTATCTCAGTGAGACACACACTCACCAATATGCACATCTATCTCAGTGAAACACTCACCAATATGCACATTTATCTCAGTAAGACAAACACTCACTAATATGCACATCTATCTCAGTGAGACACTCACCAATATGCACATCTATCTCAGTACGACAAACACTCACCAATATGCACATCTATCTCAGTGAGACAAACACTCACCAATATGCACATCTATCTCAGTGAGACAAACACTCACCAATATGCACATCTATCTCAGTGAGACACACACTCACCAATATGCACATCTATCTCAGTGAAACACACCAATATGCACATCTATCTCAGTGAAACACACCAATATGCACATCTATCTCAGTGAAACACACCAATATGCACATCTATCTCAGTGAGACAAACACTCACCAATATGCACATCTATCTCAGTGAGACAAACACTCACCAATATACACATCTATCTCAGTGAGACAAACACTCACCAATATGCACATCTATCTCAGTGAGACAAACACTCACCAATATGCACATCTATCTCAGTGAGACACACACTCACCAATATGCACATCTATCTCAGTGAAACACTCACCAATATGCACATTTATCTCAGTAAGACAAACACTCACCAATATGCACATCTATCTCAGTGAGACACTCACCAATATGCACATCTATCTCAGTAAGACAAACACTCACCAATATGCACATCTATCTCAGTGAGACAAACACTCACCAATATGCACATCTATCTCAGTGAGACAAACACTCACCAATATGCACATCTATCTCAGTGAGACACACACTCACCAATATGCACATCTATCTCAGTGAAACACTCACTAATATGCACATTTATCTCAGTAAGACAAACACTCACCAATATGCACATCTATCTCAGTGAGACACTCACCAATATGCACATCTATCTCAGTAAGACAAACACTCACCAATATGCACATCTATCTCAGTGAGACAAACACTCACCAATATGCACATCTATCTCAGTAAGACAAACACTCACCAATATGCACATCTATCTCAGTGAGACAAACACTCATCAATATGCACATCTATCTCAGTGAGACAAACACTCACCAATATGAACATCTATCTCAGTGAGACAAACACTCACCAATATGCACATCTATCTCAGTGAGACAAACACTCACCAATATGCACATCTATCTCAGCAAGACAAACACTCACCAATATGCACATCTATCTCAGTGAGACAAACACTCACCAATATGCACATCTACCTCAGTGAGACAAACACTCACCAATATGCACATTTATCTCAGTGAGACAAACACTCACCAATATGCACATCTATCTCAGTGAGACAAACACTCACCAATATGCACATCTATCTCAGTGAAACACTCACCAATATGCACATTTATCTCAGTGAGACAAACACTCACCAATATGCACATCTATCTCAGTGAGACAAACACTCACCAATATGCACATCTATCTCAGTGAAACACTCACCAATATGCACATTTATCTCAGTGAGACAAACACTCACCAATATGCACATCTATCTCAGCAAGACAAACACTCACCAATATGCACATCTATCTCAGTGAGACAAACACTCACCAATATGCACATCTATCTCAGTGAGACAAACACTCACCAATATGCACATCTATCTCAGCAAGACAAACACTCACCAATATACACATCTACCTCAGTGAGACAAACACTCACCAATATGCACATCTATCTCAGTGAAACACTCACCAATATGCACATTTATCTCAGTGAGACAAACACTCACCAATATGCACATCTATCTCAGTGAGACAAACACTCACCAATATGCACATCTATCTCAGTGAGACAAACACTCACCAATATGCACATCTATCTCAGTGAGACAAACACTCACCAATATGTACATCCATCTCAGCAAGACAAACACCCACCAATATGCACATCTATCTCAGTGAGACAAACACTCACCAATATGCACATCTACCTCAGTGAGACAAACACTCACCAATATGCACATTTATCTCAGTGAAACACTCACCAATATGCACATTTATCTCAGTAAGACAAACACTCACCAATATGCACATCTATCTCATCAAGACAAACACTCACCAATATGCACATCTATCTCAGTGAGACAAACACTCACCAATATACACATCTATCTCAGTAAGACAAACACTCACCAATATGCACATTTATCTCAGTGAGACAAACACTCACCAAAATGCACATTTATCTCAGTGAAACACTCACCAATATGCACATTTATCTCAGTGAGACAAACACTCACCAATATGCACATCTATCTCAGTGAGACACACACTCACCAATATGCACATTTATCTCAGTAAGACAAACACTCACCAATATGCACATCTACCTCAGTTAAACACACACTCACCAATATGCACATCTATCTCAGTGAAACACTCACCAATATGCACATCTATCTCAGTAAGACAAACACTCACCAATATGCACATCTATCTCAGTGAAACACTCACCAATATGCACATCTATCTCAGTGAGACACACACTCACCAATATGCACATTTATCTCAGTGAGACAAACACTCACCAATATGCACATCTATCTCAGTAAGACAAACACTCACCAATATGCACATCTACCTCAGTGAAACACTCACCAATATGCACATTTATCTCAGTGAGACAAACACTCACCAATATGCACATTTATCTCAGTGAGACAAACACTCACCAATATGCACATCTATCTCAGTGAGACAAACACTCACCAATATGCACATCTATCTCAGTGAGACAAACACTCACCAATATACACATCTATCTCAGTGAGACAAACACTCACCAATATGCACATCTATCTCAGTGAGACAAACACTCACCAATATGCACATCTATCTCAGTGAGACAAACACTCACCAATATGCACATCTACCTCAGTGAGACAAACACTCACCAATATGTACATCTATCTCAGTGAGACAAACACTCACCAATATGCACATCTATCTCAGTGAGACAAACACTCACCAATATGCACATCTTTCTCAGTGAGACAAACACTCATCAATATGCACATCTATCTCAGTGAAACACTCACCAATATGCACATCTATCTCAGTGAAACACTCACCAATATGCACATCTATCTCAGTGAAACACTCACCAATATGCACATCTATCTCAGTGAGACAAACACTCACCAATATGCACATCTATCTCAGTGAGACAAACACTCACCAATATGCACATCTATCTTAGTGAGACAAACACTCACCAATATACACATCTATCTCAGTGAGACAAACACTCACCAATATGCACATCTATCTCAGTGAAACACTCACCAATATGCACATCTATCTCAGTGAGACACACACTCACCAATATGCACATCTATCTCAGTGAGACAAACACTCACCAATATGCACATTTATCTCAGTGAGACAAACACTCACCAATATGCACATCTACCTCAGTGAAACACTCACCAATATGCACATTTATCTCAGTGAGACAAACACTCACCAATATGCACATCTATCTCAGTGAGACACTCACCAATATGCACATTTATCTCAGTGAGACAAACACTCACCAATATACACATCTATCTCAGTGAGACAAACACTCACCAATATGCACATCTATCTCAGTGAGACAAACACTCACCAATATGCACATCTATCTCAGTGAAACACTCACCAATATGTACATCTATCTCAGTGAGACAAACACTCACCAATATGCACATCTATCTCAGTGAGACAAACACTCACCAATATGCACATCTTTCTCAGTGAGACAAACACTCATCAATATGCACATCTATCTCAGTGAAACACTCACCAATATGCACATCTATCTCAGTGAAACACTCACCAATATGCACATCTATCTCAGTGAAACACTCACCAATATGCACATCTATCTCAGTGAGACAAACACTCACCAATATGCACATCTATCTCAGTGAGACAAACACTCACCAATATGCACATCTATCTTAGTGAGACAAACACTCACCAATATACACATCTATCTCAGTGAGACAAACACTCACCAATATGCACATCTATCTCAGTGAAACACTCACCAATATGCACATCTATCTCAGTGAGACACACACTCACCAATATGCACATCTATCTCAGTGAGACAAACACTCACCAATATGCACATTTATCTCAGTGAGACAAACACTCACCAATATGCACATCTACCTCAGTGAAACACTTACCAATATGCACATTTATCTCAGTGAGACAAACACTCACCAATATGCACATCTATCTCAGTGAGACACTCACCAATATGCACATTTATCTCAGTGAGACAAACACTCACCAATATACACATCTATCTCAGTGAGACAAACACTCACCAATATGCACATCTATCTCAGTGAGACACACACTCACCAATATGCACATTTATCTCAGTGAGACAAACACTCACCAATATGCAAATCTATCTCAGTAAGACAAACACTCACCAATATGCACATCTATCTCAGTAAGACAAACACTCACCAATATGCACATCTATCTCAGTGAGACAAACACTCACCAATATGCACATCTATCTCAGTGAGACAAACACTCACCAATATGCACATCTATCTCAGTGAAACACTCACCAATATGCACATCTATCTCAGTGAGACAAACACTCACCAATATGCACATCTATCTCAGTAAGACAAACACTCACCAATATGCACATCTATCTCAGTGAGACAAACACTCACCAATATGCACATCTATCTCAGTGAAACACTCACCAATATGCACATCTATCTCAGTGAGACAAACACTCACCAATATGCACATCTATCTCAGTGAGACAAACACTCACCAATATGCACATCTATCTCAGTGAAACACTCACCAATATGCACATCTATCTCAGTGAGACAAACACTCACCAATATGCACATCTATCTCAGTGAGACAAACACTCACCAATATGCACATCTATCTCAGTGAGACAAACACTCACCAATATGCACATCTATCTCAGTGAGACAAACACTCACCAATATGCACATCTATCTCAGTGAGACAAACACTCACCAATATGCACATCTATCTCAGTGAGACAAACACTCACCAATATGCACATCTATCTCAGTGAGACAAACACTCACCAATATGCACATCTATCTCAGTGAGACAAACACTCACCAATATGCACATCTATCTCAGTGAGACAAACACTCACCAATATGCACATCTATCTCAGTGAGACAAACACTCACCAATATGCACATCTATCTCAGTGAGACAAACACTCACCAATATGCACATCTATCTCAGTGAAACACTCACCAATATGCACATCTATCTCAGTGAGACAAACACTCACCAATATGCACATCTATCTCAGTGAGACAAACACTCACCAATATGCACATCTATCTCAGTGAGACAAACACTCACCAATATGCACATCTATCTCAGTGAGACAAACACTCACCAATATGCACATCTATCTCAGTGAGACAAACACTCACCAATATGCACATCTATCTCAGTGAGACAAACACTCACCAATATGCACATCTATCTCAGTGAGACAAACACTCACCAATATGCACATCTATCTCAGTGAGACAAACACTCACCAATATGCACATCTACCTCAGTAAGACAAACACTCACCAATATGCACATCTATCTCAGTAAGACAAACACTCACCAATATGCACATCTAATTTACAAGCACAGTATCTGCACATGGAGGCCTTGTCATTGAGCTCTCCCTGCAAGTGTGATATTTTCTCCTGCATTTCTTGTTCCTGAAGAGGAATAAATTCATTTGGGAAGATGGTCTTTTATAGGACACAGGTAAATAATATTTTCTTTTTATGATTTTCTTTAAACCCTTCAAGTGGGTCATTTAAGTGACTTCTTATGTTTTATGTATTTGTTCTTTATTTACAATGTGTAAGAGTCACCACAGTATTTTCCATGTACTAAAGAAATTTCAGTGAAGGTAAACTTTTGATTCATTACTTTTGTCAAATGTTTTTTTTTTTCTTTCTTAAATTCATTTTATTTTTAAATTTTTACTTTTATTAAATCCATTACTTTTCTGCAGTCACCTGTTAGAAACATCTGGTATAAATTAAATCTCTGCACTAAGTATTCTTAAAATAATTATGCTAAACCTACGCACCCATTTTCTAAATACTGTCACTTAACTGTGGCTGTTGGTGTCCTTATTTCTTTGTCTAGTAGTCTCCCTTAGTATGCGCACACTGAATGTGACCTGCGGCTGTATGCTTGAAACTTGACACTACAAATATGGCCTCACTGCGCACACTGAATGTGACCTGCGGCTGTATGCTTGAAACTTGACACTAGAAATATGGCCTCACTGTGCAACTGAATGTGACCTGCGGCTGTATGCTTGAAACTTGACACTAGAAATATGGCCTCACTGTGCAACTGAATGTGACCTGCGGCTGTATGCTTAAAACTTGAAACTAGAAATATGGCCTCACTGTGCAACTGAATTCCATGCTCATATCAACCCCTGAACATATCTATGAAAAGCCCGCTACTAGTCATGTTCTTTTGAGGAATCCCTCTTGTTCTTGAAATGTCAATCATAGACTGATGCAACAACAGACTTAACATCTTTATAGACCTTCCCATAAAATTTAGCCCAAATGTCTGCTTTCACTTTTTCTGACAGAACCTTGGAAAAACACCTGCTGGATCATTTGCCTTGTTTTACACAGGTAAGATGTTTGCATTGGGTGTTGTGAATCTGTCTTTCCCTCTGCCAGTTTGAGTTGATGATTGAATGTGGTAGATCTGAAAATATTTCCTAACAAGCCTTGATAATTTTAATTCCATTTGTCTAGAGCTTGAACCCATCTTATTCTTTGTCTCCAATCTATTAACTCTGCTTCTTTTTCATAAGACCAAAAAGCAGTATGCCAAAACCGGCTCTCCTCCGAACTCCTACCACCGCATTAAGGCGGCCTGAAATATCTGTACGGGGCTCAGTCCAATGAAAAATATGCGAACTTCCTGCGACGAATGAATCGTGGCAAAACTAGGATCAGCTCCGTATAGCAAAACAAATGCTCTAGCAGGGTCTCAGCGATATGTTAATTGCGGACCTGTTTCTTATTGTTTCTGATTACCTGACAATTTTAAGAGACACAACACTGCAGACGATAGTAGCAGACTTTAATAGCCACCGTGACACTTTCCATTGTCGGACTTTCTACCGAGGAACAAATCGCTGCAAATCTAGGATTGGCTCGGAAAAACGAAACAAATGCTCTAACTGTGTCTCAGCGATATGTTCATTGCGGACCTGTTTCTGTGACTATGCCTCGCCGCCGACAGTATCCCCCGCGCCGCTATGCGCGGTGCGGATGGGGGGGTTAAGTAGATGGCTGGGACTTACGAGCAGCAGCTACCGCATTTCCTGCAACTTCCTCCAGTCAATTTGTTCGTGAGTCCCATGCACCTAGTTTAGCCCCCCCCCCCATAGCGGCGTGGAGGATATGCTCAGCAGTGAGATTAATCGCGTTTTGCGCATGCCGAAATGTCTGACATCTACCGCTGCTAAATCCTAAATCGGAAGAACAGTATTGCTAATCTGCGTGGGAGCACGTGGTCTACCCGCCGTATCGCTCTCATCATCTGTAATGTCTCGAAATTGTCAATGGTCGCTATTATCGTCTGCTAGTATTGTCTGCAGAAATGCTCGAAATTGTCAACGGTCTCTTTTATCGTCTGCTACTGTCGTCTGCGGTGTTGCGTCTCGTGACAATGTAAGGTACTCCTAGTTTTGCCGCAATTTGTTCCTTGGCGGGAACTCCGACAAGTCCGCATTTTTCATTGGATTGAGCCCCGTACGGATATTTCAGGCCACCATAATGCGGGGGTAGAAGTTCGGAGGAGAGCCCCAAAACCTAATCTGCCTACGACTATTCAATTTTCATTAGTACAGCAATACTCTAAAGAAAAATGGCTAAGAGTTTTTCAATGATCTCCAGACACCTACTTCCTCAATACATCAATGCAAGGAACAGAAAGGACATACCTGACTTTAGATGAGCAAACATTTATAGTTCAAACTGTGTGAATGACAGGCTGGCCAAATGTGGGTGTACTGCTGGAGAGGTCAAGCAGCTGGTGATTAGTGATGAGTTTTATCATCCAACACTCTAGACAGATCAATAGTTGTGCTCATCTCCTCCTAAATATCTCCACATGAGTGAGGTTTATCATCTAGCGCTCGAGACAGATCAATAGTTGTGCTCATCTCCTCCTAAATAGCTCCACATGAGTGAGGTTTATCATCCAGCACTCGAGACAAATCAATAGTTGTGCTTATCTCCTCCTAAATAGCTCCACATGAGTGAGGTTTATCATCCAGCACTCGAGACAAATCAATAGTTGTGCTCATCTCCTCCTAAATAGCTCCACATGAGTGAGGTTTGTCATCCAGCACTCTAGACAAATCAATAGTTGTGCTCATCTCCTCCTAAATGAGTGGGGAGCAGATCAATAGTTGTGCTCATCTCCTCCTAAATAGCTCCACATGAGTGAGGTTTGTCATCCAGCACTCGAGACAGATCAATAGTTGTGCTGATCTCCTCCTATATAGCTTTACATGAGTGAGGTTTATCCAGCACTCTAGACAGATCAATAGTTGTGCTCATTTCCTCCTAAAAAGCTCTACATGAGTGAGGTTTATCCAGCACTCTAGACAGATCAATAGTTGTGCTCATCTCCTCCTAAAAAGCTCCACATGAGTGAGGTTTATCCAGCACTCTAGACAAATCAATAGTTGTGCTCATCTCCTCCTAAAAAGCTCCACATGAGTGAGGTTTGTCATCCAGCAGTCTAGACAGATCAATAGTTGTGCTCATCTCCTCCTAAAAAGCTCCACATGAGTGAGGTTTATCCAGCACTCTAGACAAATCAATAGTTGTGCTCATCTCCTCCTAAATAGCTCCACAAGCATACAATGACTGATGATAGGCATTCTGTGTTGGTTAATCAAATATATTGTACCTTTTGTGAAAGGTTCATTTCTTGCAGCTCTAGGTTGCACCTAATGTCCATTAGCCAAGACAGGGATATGGATTCATGCCCTATGTTAAATTCATCTTCATGGTTAGTGCCGCACATGGCAATGATGGCATCAATACTGTCCAGTACAGGCCAGTCATAACAACTGCAGGGTCTGCCAGGTAATCTGCATGCTCACTGCCTTGAACACCTGCATAGCCCATTTTGAGGCTGCTTGCTGTAACAGCAAAGGTGCCATTAATCTCCTTGATGGTTCCCCATTGAGCTCAATGTGAACGCCTGTGCACTTTGTTTACCTTGAATCTGTGTTCTTATCAATCATTGTTCTGACTAAGGTGTCTGCCATGCAAGGAATTTAGTCTCTGCAGCTTTTATCAAATGTGATATAGACTGTAATGCTAATGTTTGGTGCAGCATTCAATTCCAAGATTAACATCAGTAAGGTCTTGGATGCCATCCTCAGCAGGACCCATCCATAACTTGCCTCATTAAAGCTATTCTTTCTGAGACTTAATCATTTATTGTAGGTGTTGGGGATCTGATATAACCTTGAAGAAAGCAGAGTCCTGGATTCGGTTATCCAGTGTGGGAAAGTCCAAGGGGTATCGCATGGATTTATAGGAGATGCCCTTTTTGTTTCACAAAGTGAAATGTTGCCGTTTGATGGACACACCCTCTCCTCCTACTATCGATCTATTTCAAGATTTTCCTCATCATTTGCGCTCTCACTGACAGTGTCACTTCAAGAACGTATTCTTTATGAAATTATCACAGATAATGAATATATATATATATATATATATCACAGAGTCTGAATAAACCAAAGTATCGATCACCTGTTGGACTATGAAAAGCCTAGAACTTGGTTTATCAGCCGTTTGCTTCATTCTGAATTTTCCGAATTTGTTCACGTTAAAACACACAAAATTGATTCACACACAGGTGACATGGATTTATTACATAATATATTCTTTATTTTACTCAAGGCAGTTTTGGCCTGTCCTATTCTGTTCTTTATCTCTGATAGATTTTCTGTTGGATGTTTTCCATGCATCTAAATACTTAAATTTCTACTCAGATAACAAGTGCATGTAAACATCCATGGACACACATGGAAACTCATATACTATTTTATTTCCTACAGATACTAGGCTAGCTGGGACAAAATCGGTGTCAACCTGGCCTGGTACCAGGCATACATTAATCAGTTTGTATGTGTTCTTTCTCCGCAAGATATCAATGTATACTTCTAACCTTAATTTTGGATGCTGTTGAATACAAAACCAAAAACACTTACCGATTTTGTCAACTTTTTCCGTTTTCCCTTAGTTTTTCCAGGTAGGGTGTTGTTTTTTGTAGGGCTGCTGGTTAAGGAGACATCATCTACAGTAAGAGCATAATCACATTAGACAAGAGGCAGCATCGTCACATAGTCTTGTGTGCAACTGTCTCATCTCATCTCGATACTCTGGTACCTTTTTGTAACTGTCTCATCTCATCTCGATACTCTGGTACCTTGTGTGTAACTGTCTCATCTCATCTCGATACTCTGGTACCTTGTTTGTAACTGTCTCATCTCATCTCAATACTCTGGTACCTTGTGTGTAACTGTCTCATCTCATCTCGATACTCTGGTACCTTGTGTGTAACTGTCTCATCTCATCTCGATACTCTGGTACCTTGTGTGTAACTGTCTCATCTCATCTCAATACTCTGGTACCTTGTGTGTAACTGTCTCATCTCATCTCGATACTCTGGTACCTTGTGTGTAACTGTCCCATCTCATCTCGATACTCTGGTACCTTGTGTGTAACTGTCTCATCTCATCTCGATACTCTGGTACCTTGTGTGTAACTGTCCCATCTGATCTCAATACTCCTACATGGCATTGGGCCAAAGGGCGAAAGCTCATGCGCCGCTGGATCGATAACAACAACAACAACAACAACATCTCAATACTCTGGTACCTTGTCTGTAACTGTCTCATCTCATCTCGATACTCTGGTATCTTGTGTGTAACTGTCTCATCTCATCTCGATACTCTGGTACCTTGTGTGTAACTGTCTCATCATCTCCCTATAGTCTGATACCTTGTGTGTAACTGTCTCATCTCATCTCGATACTCAGGTACCTTGTGTGTAACTGTCTCATCTCATCTCAATACTATGGTACCTTGTGTGAAACTGTCTCATCTTCTCCCTATACTCTGATACCTTGTTTGTAACTGTCCCATCTCATCTCGATACTCTGGTACCTTGTGTGTAACTGTCTCATCTCATTTCGATACTTTGGTACCTTGTGGCATCAAGGTGAAGTATAATTTATGGGAAAGAGACTTCCCTTCCTGCCTGGTCTGTACATAATTTGTACTGTAATGTTTGTAACTATAACATTCTCTATTCATGTCTTGTGTTGATGAAGGCTTTCTAGCTGAAACATTCACTTGTTGTTTGTGACTGTGATTATGTGAAGCTGACCAGTTCTTCTTTTCATTACGTCTGATATCTTTTTATATAAACCCATTAGCAAAACACCTCACATAAATTATTAACTATACAAAGAATACAACTATTTTATCAAACTTGAACATGTGTGCTGAGTTTATGGTTCAATAAATTACTATGTCTAAATATACTTGTTATCTTATGAGTTGAAACACATAGTTTTAAAAACCTTCTCTTAGAATGAAAATGTTGATTTCCTGTGATGTGACATTTTTCCAGCAGCTTGATATTCCTCCAGTAACAAGGCTAGCTTTAACATGTTATATTCATCATCTGTGACAATGTTTTGACAGAGATAACGCCAACAAATACCTCACCATAAAAGGCAGGATTTCAGATGTGATTCCTCATCTACTGTTGGCATCTTTCTCCTCTAGTCAGTGTGAAACAAGTAATACTGTAGTAATTACATCCTTTCTCTCTGCCTTAGTCTGCAGGATGGTACCTGATGGCCTCTAATGCAAGGGATCAACTGGAAAGTTCTCATATTGTTCATAGTGTGATGTAGATTCAAAAACTTATAAAGAGTAACCGTCTGTGCATATATCCACCACAAAATGTTCCATCTGACAGCATCTGGCATAATTTTGAATTGATTAGTTATTCATGTTTTTTGTCTTCTTCCTTCTTCTCTACTTCCTTATCATCCAATGTTCTCATTTTCTATATTATCTCGCATTGCTCATGTTGACCTATCCATAATCTAATTCCACTAAAGCAGTTTCATCAATGATGTACTGGCTATCTTGAAATTGGCACACTGTGCACAAGGGTGGTGCCACCCCCCCCCCTCCCCGCCCCTATCCCCACCCCATTTTCCACAGACTCCTGAAATGTTGATGTTTAGATTTCTACTGGTTGGTAACAATCCAACTGACACACAAGAACAACACCATGGCAACTGATTAACTTTTTGCACCCTCAGCATTCCGGTTAAAATGGACGCTAGACAGCAGCGCTGTTCGGAGCAGAGGCAAATTTTTTTGCTTCTGCCGGACGGTGGCCGAAGTATTTTTGCTCCATTTGTAGACTGGATATAGTTTCATCGCCCAGCTTCTGAGTTGAATGCATGGCGTGACCCTGTGAGCTGCGGATTGCATTTGGAATGTATTTTCGACTGTGACCAACGTGGTGGTGTGAATTGTAGATTCAGAAAATGACGTGCAATGTACGCTGTGCCCGTATCTGGTTAAAATTGATCGCGTGGACAACTGCTAAACTGTTGGTGACAAGTTCTGCTATCATCAATGTTGAACTGCATTTCTAATGTTGGACTGTTTGTGTTAGCACTTCGGATGGCTACCGTATGCTTTAATGCGAGTGTATGCTAGATATGCTGAGACAGCAGTCTGTCAATCTTTCCACAAGGGACTGTGATAAACATTCTGGGTGTTTTTCGTTGGCACAGGAGCGGAGCAAAGATGGGGCGACCCGTTGCTATGAAGCTGAAAAGAAGACTACCAGACTACCAGACTACCCTCAGCATATTCCATCTTGTTGAGAGAGAAAATAGGCTGGAGATTAGGGCCACAATTCACACAATAAATACTGTATATATTAATCAATTTAATTTGTTACACACAGCCATAAGGGAGCTGTGATGGGAAATCCTGACTATAGAAGGATAAACATAAATATAAAAATGATGCCCCTTAAAAAAAAGCACATGTTTATTCTTTCAGCCCTATAGACAGATACGTACAGACATAAAATGAGGTGTAGATTTGCACACATATGAATACACATACGAAAATTAGTGTACAAAGTCGCGGTCAGCCATAAAGCACATCATCATCATCATGTAGCAGGTCCTTTGCAGAACGTCGCTCTCATCACAGTCTGCCTGTAAGAAACTCGGTCTCTTGCCAGTTCTCCCGCCTCATGAACTTTCACCCTCAAGGAGTCACTTTTATCCTGTGCCAATCTTCGTGTAGGTCGGCCCCTGCCCATCCTTCCTGGTACCATGCCTTCTGCTATAATTTTTTCCAATCTGTCGTGGCGCTTGATATGACAAAAATATTTCAGCTTTCGAGAAAGGATGCTGTTTATTAGCCAATCTTCCTTGATGTGTCAGATCTTTGAAGATGTCAATATTTCTCATCTTCTTTGTATAAAGCACATATGTACTGAAAACAACAAATAAACCAAGCAGCCTTTTTCAATATCCTAACCTATCAAGACGACTCCCCCCCACCCTTCCCACACACACCCTCCCACACACACACACACACACAACTGCATGCAGTCATGCACACGCACACACAATCTCCATCTGAACTGTCCATATCCAATGTATACAAAAGTCAAACACTACCTGGTGTCAGTGGAAACACTGAAGAATGACGAAGACCTGGACTGGACTGAGCAGATCTTAAGTTAGAGCTCTCCATTTGGGCAAGACTGGAGGCAGACGGTGCATGGCGAAACATGGATTCCTCTACGTGTGACAAGCTTACCGTGGAGCCAATAGGACTGTTAACACTGTCTGTTAAAGATAGTTTTCAACTGTTAAAACTACATTTCATGTGACCGTATTTAAAATAATATAATAATATAATAAAAGTTATATTAAGTAAAGTGATAATAAACATTAAAAATGTGATAATTTATTTTGTTTTGCCACTGTATACAAAGCTGTGGGAAATACATTTTTATTCATAAGCATTTAATTTTATTGTTTTTTAACCGTCAAAACTGTACTTAGGACAGATTCAAATGTTAAAAGAAATACATACTAAATAGACTAATTCAACACTTGCAACATGACTTATCAGGCTATTTATCCAAAGATAGGTATGGATATTTCTGAAAATGTAACTTCACTGTAAATCTAGATGTGACTGTCCATAAATTTATTCTTAAAAAAATATATGGATTATCTTTCCGTTGCCTTCCATGGCCATATAAGAGAGTTGCAGCCTGTACATATTCTACTCTGAGCAGCTTCTTGAAGTTTATAACATTCACCAAGCTAGTAGCCAATTATGGTAAACTCTTTATAACTGTGTTAGTGTCTGTGGCTTAGGCATTGCGAATGCCCTTCGTAATGCCTGTATGCTGGGTTCGATTCAAGCTGCAGACGATTTGTCTTGTGCTGGTTCAACAGTGGTACCAAGAGCTGACCGTTCAGAAAGCAATGGCAAACAACTGAACATAAAATTTGCCTAGAAAACCACAACAGTCAAAAAAATGCTGGCGTTTGTTCTGCAATGTCCTGTAAAGGATACGCAACTAACTTAACTTCATAATTGCAATGATCTGTAGGTGTACAGCAAGTCTATGTGACCTTCTTTACATACTTTATACTTTTTACTTTCCACATATGGATGATAGTTTGCGGTTTCGCTGCCTGAGCTGCTAAGTTTATTACTTGGTGCAGCCCTGAGAGCTGTGTTTTTCGTTTGTGCAGCGTTGTGTTGTGGTATTCAATATGTCTGGTAGTTCATCTTATGTAATTTCTAGCAACTGCCATGTGCATTTACTGCGTGTGCATATTTCTAGATTGTGCCAGGACTAATTGTTTGTTCACCAGTTTTTTTCAAATGGGACGGTGAGAGACATTTCAAGGGCACAGGAACGGGGCAAATATGAGGGAAACCCAATTGCAGTGAAGTTGAAACCTCAACTAACTAACTAACTAACTTGACCTTCCATTGCCTATGCTTATCTGAAAATTATAGACCCCAACCTACTAGTACAAGATCTACATATATGCAACACTGAATAAAAACATCACGTTTCAATATAGTAGAAAGAACACTGCACTGAATGTTTATCACATAAATCTAGTAATGCAAACTTATACAAATATCAGGAAAGTAGTTTCAGCAATGTTCGTGCTCAAGATATATCATACAGTTAGCAGTCTTTCCTCAAATCAGTTGGTTTGCATTCACAGACTTTATACTTCAGTGGAAAGTTCTGGGTTTTTTTTTGGGTCCATTTTTGGACTCCGTTGGAGGACTCGAGTTTTGCTAAGTGCATAATTTTAAATACCTGCCTCATCTGTATGTAGACTGTTGGTTCCTCAACTCTCATCACTCCGACATCAAAGGAAACACCCCCTAATTAGGTGCCTTATACAACATGGTTGCTAAAGGAGCAGTTGGTCAAGTTTTTTTTTAATCCTTAAAAAAGTGCCCTGCAACACACATGGGGATTGCTCAAAGTATATTTTAATCCTTTGCTAGTAATCCTGCACCAAACTTGTTCTTGCAAAGGTGTCATCAATGTCATATGTAGATTCTTGCCAAGGTGTCATTAATGTCATATGTAGATTCTTGCCAAGGTGTCATTAATGTTATATGTGGATTCTTGCCAAGGTGTCATTAATGTCATATGTAGATTCTTGCCAAGGTGTCATTAATGTCATATGTAGGTTCTTGCCAAGGTGTCATTAATGTCATATGTGGATTCTTGCCAAGGTGTCATTAATGTCCTATGTAGATTCTTGCCAAGGTGTCATTAATGTCATATGTAGGTTATTGCCAAGGTGTCATTAATGTCATATGTAGATTTTTGCCAAGGTGTCATTAATGTCATATGTAGGTTCTTGCCAAGGTGTCATTAATGTCATATGTGGATTCTTGCCAAGGTGTCATTAATGTCCTATGTAGATTCTTGCCAAGGTGTCATTAATGTCATATGTAGGTTATTGCCAAGGTGTCATTAATGTTATATGTGGATTCTTGCCAAGGTGTCATTAATGTCATATGTAGATTCTTGCCAAGGTGTCATTAATGTCATATGTAGATTCTTGCCAAGGTATCATTAATGTCATATGTAGATTCTTGCCAAGGTGTCATTAATGTCATATGTAGATTCTTGCCAAGGTGTCATTAATGTCATATGTAGATTCCTGCCAAGGTGTCATTAATGTCATATGTAGATTCTTGCCAAGGTGTCATTAATGTCATATGTAGATTCTTGCCAAGGTGTCATTAATGTCATATGTAGATTCCTGCCAAGGTGTCATTAATGTCATATGTAGATTCTTGCCAAGGTGTCATTAATGTCATATGTAGATTCCTGCCAAGGTGTCATTAATGTCATATGTAGATTCTTGCCAAGGTGTCATTAATGTCATATGAAGGCCGTCATGTTTACTGACCTTCTGTGAGGAATTATGCCTTCTACTATTGTTTCTTTTTTCTTTCTGTAACTAAGAACGTTTATTTTGGCCAAACAGTTTTAGTTTTTATGGCATGATGCTGATTTCCTTCGCAGTTAAAAATCAAACAAAAAAAGAGTAGGTGAAATAGGTTGCTGGCCAGGAAAATAAAATAGAAAATCTACAACAGAAAATATTTACACGTAATTGTGGTACACAATATGCAAGTGGGTTATCACAGGTTCTAGGAAATTCATGCACTGGGTTAAGACCCTCCCTGTATGATCTATTGAAAAAAGGCCGGCACACTTTTGTGGGTGTTTATATGCAATAAATGTGACCAAAACAAAGCAACATTCGGTTGACTCCTGACATCCTGTGAAATAATTCCTGCCAAATTCAGTTAATAAAAGTCTGGGTACATTTACTTCTTCTTGTGACATTTTACAAAACCTTCACTGATTTGATTCATTTTCTCAGTGTCTTTGGATTATGTGATTTACTTTGCCTTTGTTATGAACTTTAACATTAGTCTCTTTGCAGCAATATATATTTTGAACTTTAAACAATCTTTTAGTTCAATGTTTTACCACATGTCTCTGTAACTGATCTGTGCAGAGTATCAAAAAAAACAAATAGCAATGCTGATTGATATGTTGTCTGTCTTACAATGCACTGTGATTGATATGTTGTCTGTCTTCATAGTTTATTTTTAACAATAAACAATCCTCCTCCTGTTGTGCCATCTATACATCATAATAGCTTGCATTATATTCCTCTGTTATTTTGAAAGCTATTTCTGTTCAGAAAAACATACTGAGTTGAGTTGAGTTGAGTCAAAAATTGACATCACAGCACTCAGGGCATTCCCATGCATGCTCCGTCCTCATCTTTAGCAGCCAGCGCAGAGTTCCAATACTGATGGTACCGATCACAATATGGTTAAATGTCCATCTGGCCTTTCCTTTAAGTGTAGTGAGCTAGCCAAACCCTCTGGTTACACCCAAGTGGCTCATTCTCTCCAGGCCATAATAATCTTCTTGCTCTACTGATTCCGTTGCTTATTCCTAAAGGGCCTTGACCACACACACACACAAAAACTATAATACTGCAAACAAAATATACAACAACCAAGAAATGTAACCTGAACAGAAACACAGAAACAGTGCAGGAAGTGACTAGAACTTAAGCAGTCATGTGTAAACACAAGTCAAGATGTGCTACTGAGCTAGACTTAACAATGAACTTAACTAGCATCACTTAAATAATATGAACACAAGCAATAATAAACAGTCACAGCCTTTGTTTTTTTTTTTTTTTTTTTTTCATGAGAGAAAAATTTTAAAAATATGGCACAAACTTGCCAAGACTAAAGCAACAACATAATGGCATTTATATTAACTGATGATCTACATCTGTAGATGGCTAGAACAGGATTGCATGCCACAGCAGTACAACATCGATTTCAGGAGGAGATATGCTCTTTGTATTTACCAGGTGATATGTCTGTTTGTAGGTTCATGGGTTCACTTGAAGACTTCGGAACAGCAAGAGAACGAGGGCGGCTAAACTTACGAGAGAAGGAGGAGAAACCACCAAGCACGTTTTGTCGCTTGTGACCTTGGGGACATGTGTCAAAAAAGACCATAAAATGTACAAGGTTTGAACAAAAGAAGAAGAAATTATTACAATTATTTCTGTCTTTCTCTCTTTCTCTCTTCATAGAGAGAGAGAGAGTGAGAGTGACCAAGTCATATGGGATAATATCTGGAAAAAAAATAATTTCTTGTTTTTAAACATCTTTAACATATTTGCAGGCAATCCTCTCAAATATTCTAATTTTTTTCAATAATTTAAACACAGATCAGAAATGTATATTTGACACCCACTGTGACACCCAAAATGTTCATTCATAAATTTTTCTTGTCTTATAACCATCAAATGGCCTAAAGTAACAGAAGAAGCTGTCTTTCTATTAAAGTTTGCGGTCAAGGCAGATATAACAAAAGATGGAATCAAGCTTCGGATTTTTCAGAATTTTCATTCTTTGGGAAATATATCAGTTGAAACACGAACAGTACTGTCAACAGAGGAACAAAAATAGTACTGTCAACAGAGAAACACAAATAGACTGTCAACAGAGAAACACAAATAGACTGTCAACAGAGAAACACAAATAGGCTGTCAACAGAGAAGCACAAATAGAACTGTCAACAGAGAAACACAAATAGACTGTCAACAGAGAAGCACAAATAGTACTGTCAACAGAGAAACACAAATAGACTGTCAACAGAGAAGCACAAATAGACTGTCAACAGAGAAACACAAATAGTACTGTCAACAGAGAAACACAAATAGACTGTCAACAGAGAAACACAAATAGTACTGTCAACAGAGAAACACAAATAGAACTGTCAACAGAGAAGCACAAATAGGCTGTCAACAGAGAAGCACAAATAGACTGTCAACAGAGAAACACAAATAGTACTGTCAACAGAGAAGCACAAATAGTACTGTCAACAGAGAAACACAAATAGAACTGTCAACAGAGAAACACAAATAGACTGTCAACAGAGAAGCACAAATAGTACTGTCAACAGAGAAACACAAATAGAACTGTCAACAGAGAAACACAAATAGACTGTCAACAGAGAAACACAAATAGGCTGTCAACAGAGAAACACAAATAGTACTGTCAACAGAGAAACACAAATAGTACTGTCAACAAAGAAACACAAATAGTACTGTCAACAGAGAAACACAAACAGACTGTCAACAGAGAAACACAAATAGGCTGTCAACAGAGAAACACAAATAGTACTGTCAACAGAGAAACACAAATAGACTGTCAACAGAGAAACACATATAGTACTGTCAACAGAGAAACACAAATAGTACTGTCAACAGAGAAACACAAATAGTACTGTCAACAGAGAAACACAAATAGACTGTCAACAGAGAAACACAAATAGTACTGTCAACAGAGAAACACAAACAGACTGTCAACAGAGAAACACAAATAGTACTGTCAACAGAGAAACAAAAATAGTACTGTCAACAGAGAAACACAAACAAACTGTCAACAGATAAACACAAATAGGCTGTCAACAGAGAAACACACATAGACTGTCAACAGAGAAACACAAATAGTACTGTCAACAGAGAAACACAAATAGACTGTCAACAGAGAAACACAAATAGTACTGTCAACAGAGAAACACAAATAGACTGTCAACAGAGAAACACAAATAGTACTGTCAACAGAGAAACACAAATAGTACTGTCAACAGAGAAACACAAATAGTACTGTCAACAGAGAAACACAAATAGGCTGTCAACAGAGAAACACAAATAGTACTGTCAACAGAGAAACACAAATAGTACTGTCATCAGAGAAACACAAATAGTACTGTCAACAGAGAAACACAAACAAACTGTCAACAGATAAACACAAATAGACTGTCAACAGAGAAACACAAATGGTACTGTCAACAGAGAAACACAAACAGTACTGTCAACAGAGAAACACAAATAGACTGTCAACAGAGAAACACATATAGACTGTCAACAGAGAAAAACAGCTGATACTCTACAATTTAGACAAATAATGCATTTCAGAAAATTATTGAATAAAAAGAGATTTTACATTTTATTGAAATCTGTTTAAAAAAAAATTATGAACAAGATTTTGTGACTTAGTCTGGTAGTCTGACTGTGGTACAGTCTGGGAAAACATACCTACTTCATCTACCTTTTACTTCTACCTATCGTTTGCTACTGCATGCAGCTCATTCCAGATAGATTAATCAAGTAACAGAAAGTATTGTGAACGGCACTCATAGAAAGAAGTAGAAAGATAGAAGAACACACTAGACAACATAAAAATCGAAAGCTATAGTTACCGTGCCGGGAATTGAACCTGTCACCTCCAGACGGCGTCTGCGCCTCGCCATGAATACAAGTGCACTAAGATACATGGTCAACTCGGCACCCCCAAAAAAAGGTGTCTCATTGGCCATGTCTATCGTACAGCTTGAAATCCACGACTATGGAATACGGACAGAATTCATTTCAACCCATTGAAATGGCACCATAGGTTACAGAAATTTATATTAACGAAGCAAATGTCGAATAACAATCACAGCAACAATTTACGAACACAGTAAGACCTTATTGCTTTGTCTAGAATACACAAACATTTAAGAAAGGTATTTGTTGGTAGGTTCCGGTGTGTATACGTCATTCCTATAAATAAACAGAGGATAGATGAAGCTTTAATACGTATTAACACTTGTGTTTCGGGAAGTAAGGTCCTTGGAGGTCCTCAGACACTTCTGGCACATAGTTCTACTAATTTTCTTGCCTCCAGCTATGTTTCAGTTACTATGACGCAACAATCCTTTTCGCCATTGTTGGGCACAGGTAACTCTATAAAAAAAATTGATGTAAAATTACCAAACACATCAAACTTTCTCAAAAGCCGTCAATAAACAGCCCACATGTGCAAGAAATGCGAGAAGCAATCTGATTGGCTAGTACGAAAAGCTGCCAGCCAATCTCAAGGCTTGTATTACATAAAGGCCGACCGATCGGCCCAGTCATCCTTTTGGCTACTTTGTGTCGGGCCGATATTTCGGACGAGTCTCCAGAGCGTCAAATTGCTCAGACCTCCTAGTGTTATAAAAACTAATCTAGCCTTTTTTTTTTTTTTTTAAATACCTCTTTCTGTTCTCCTATATCTATCTACATTACTGTCCAAGGTGTAGAAAATTTCATCTTGGAGCAGAGTATCATCAAGAGAAATTAGATTACTGTAATCATGTTCACCTAATTTGCCCACTAATTAAAAAGTAGAATTTGTAACAATTTATATATATATATATTTTTTTATGGTTGTAGAGTTCACATCATGAACAGTGAACCAAAAATATTAATTAAATCAATGAAGATGCTTTTATTTAGCCAACTCACTTTTGCCAGTGCCTCGACTGCCTATAAGAGCTCCAACTGAAGCACTGCTGATGTTTTCAGTACCACTAGAAAAGCTGCCACCAGACTTCAGGTTTCCCTGATGAGTATAGTTGGGGGGTCGAGGATGTTGCTGTGGAAAATGTAAACATGACTTAATTAGCTGGATGCCCTAAAGGTCATGACTGAATGTTTTATACTGGGGTTGGAATAGTCCAGATGTGTACCAGTACTGAGAGCTACTGCAATTCTTTCTAAGAAATACAGAAAACAGACGCACGTGAGTGATCAAGAGTGAAATACTTTTTAAGGGACCATGGTCTTAAGATCAAAATCTGGGCTTTTCCTTGAAAATGTGTGGATCATACAAGCAGATGTGAGATATAATCAACAGAGAAAATCTTCGTGGCGATAAACTGAGTATTTCATTGAGTCAGGAGCTGCTGTGTATAATCATGAAGTATTCAACAATGAAATTGTCCTACATGACTTTTTCTTCTTCTTAAAGTCCATGCCGTGTAGTGTTGGTAGTCATGTCTATCCACAACCTTCTGTCTTCTTCTTCTTAAAGTCCATGCCGTGTAGTGTTGGTAGTCATGTCTATCCACAACCTTCTGTCTTCTTCTTCTTAAAGTCCATGCCGTGTAGTGTTGGTAGTCATGTCTATCCACAACCTTCTGTCTTCTTCTTCTTAAAGTCCATGCCGTGTAGTGTTGGTAGTCATGTTTATCCACAACCTTCTACATGACTGGCAGACACAAAGACTATCATCACCATGGCAGAGGTATACTGGTGACCATGTTCCCTTCTTCATAAAGAATGTTTAAGTGCACTTTCCTATATAGAAATTTTGTCAAGATGTCTGTTCTTACTAGCAATGTATGTGAGAAAGTTTTGAGGTATTTCATAATCACAGCGCTTGATCAACTAATTTGCCTCCTTTCACTGAACACAGCCTGTGTTGCTTATTTTTTAACTACTGTGCAACCAAACTTTGCTATCTAGAGCAGTGGTCTCCAACCTTTTTCAGGGGACACCCCTTTGAGTATATGGAAAGCCCCCCCCCCCCCCCCCAATCCAACCCCACCCTAACTAAATGTGATCTTAAAATGGAGGATACAAATGGAAAATCCGAAGAAGAGAAAAACCTCTACATATAACAAAGTGTCAAATAAGTAACAATTACCAACAAACTGTAGTTTAGTATCCAAATATCAATGTGATAGATGACACTGTTTTGTCTTGATATCAGCTATTTTTTTTTTCTTTTTTTGCACAAGGAATGACAGAGATTCACTCTCCACATCAAGCTAGCAATGCTGTTTTATTTTCATTACCATTATAGCTGAAAATCTGCATTATAACAAGTATAAATGCAATCAATTTAAAAACTGCTTGAGAAAGGTCACTAGGCATCCCCTCTCCCCCCTTTCTCTGCCTTGAAACTTCCTCACACCCCTAGAGTGGTGCACTCCACAGGCTGGAGACCACTGATCTACAGAGTGCTCCTTCATCCACCACTCAGTGGACAGACCTAGTGGATAAATAGTAACTTTTAATGTATATGATCACATACATTTACCAAACATTCATTGCTCAGTCATATAAAGATAGCAACTCACAGCAAAGATATTACAACGGCACACCTTTGACTATTTGAATAATCACAACTATCATCACAGCAAAAATGTGCAGCCTGACACACATCAAAGAATAAACTCATTTTGGCTTACATTTGGTTCTCTTATCCACAATGCCTTCACCACAAAGTAATGGACATCTGGCACAGGTGGGTACTTCATGAGTACAGTCAGGCAAGTGGCATAATCACTGGTCAATACTGAAAACAGTACACAGACAAAATAAAAAAGCTTATGTCTTGTTTTTTGACATCAACCAATTCAAAAAAAATGATTCAGATACCACTGGTATGAACTATAGATCCATTCACAAACTTAGTGTAAGATTCTTGATTACCTAAAAAGCTTTGATACTAGTATCCTCACTAAATAAAACAGAATATCAGACAATATTTTTATGACATGTTTAATCATAGCAGCCCTGACATGTTTGACTATCAGATCATCTAAGTCCCATGACACAGCTGGCACTATAGTATGTGAATGTTTGCAGCATGCAAGCACACATGAATGCATTCACATGCATGCAAAATTTTGTTTGTGAAAACACATCACGATTATATAAGGTTAGTGAACAGAAGTTCATAAAACCACTGCTCTAGGAAAATGTGTAGAAGACAGTACATACCCATAGGTAAGTACAGTAAGTGCATTAACTTGCAGGGAACCTGTGTAGATGTGACGAGCTGGTCTAGACTACAGTTTCTTACCTTTTAATTATGCCTTCCTTATAGCAATAATATGAATTTATTCATTATAAAGTGGAAAATATGTGAATGAAAATTTGGAGGATCAACTCACAATTAGGAGTTACTTTCCCCTTGTTGGTTGATGAAAGAGACAGGTTTTTGTCTTGCCCCCTTTGCTGGCTCAGTAAACCCCAGGTCGTCAGTGCTGAAGCCTAATTGTGTCTGAAATCTCTACCAGGGTTCTGTGTGGTATTCCCAAATTAATTGTTGCCCATAAAGCTAAAAACTTGCAGAAATTAAAAACATGTGCTATGGATATTGTGTTCATTTTTATTTGATTTATGATTGTGTGACTATTTGATTGATGCATATGTAATTTTCTTACTAACCCTCTACTGACCTAATTTTCTGAGTCTTGTCTAGTACTCTATAGTTTCAGCAGCCATCGTAGGTGATAATCTGCAAACTCCTGGTAAGGGTGACCACAAGTCTAAATGAGATATGGCAGCACATGATTCACTGTTGAGCAAGACCAACTCAGACTTTGCTGCTCATGAGGCAGGTCTGACTGGTACTGAGCTACATAAATATGTCTCTGATTTGTTGATTTCCAAATCTCAAATAGAAGTTGATGTAGGTGTCTGAGGGAGGGAAGCAGATTCTATAGATTGATTAGTTTGAAGTTTAGAAATATGGAAGTCTTGCAAACTCACAGGTATTAAACTCTAGTGTGTGGCAGAGAAGGTCAAGGAAAACTGGGAGTGGCAACTGGAATGTGTCCAGATGGAACAGCTTGCACAAGCTAGAGGTGATGAAAGGGGAGTTGAACATGCTCAGTGGAACCAGAAAGATTTTGCTACCAGACTTTTCCGAGATGAGAGGATGCTCACACCCAGATAGCCAGCCCCTTCTAGATCAGCCAGCGCTACATCTAACAGTATCAGTCACTTTAGTTCAGTAAATGAAGAAAGATGCCTCACCCAAACAGAACCAGGACATAAAAACCCTGGTAGAGAATGTGAGATCCTTAGCAGCTATCAAGAGATAAGAGCTAGTGCATCTGCAGCTGCAGTGACACAGTTGGCTAGCAACCACCAAACTTGAGCTAAATTAGGTGGTGATTTATGTCAAGACGGCCAATCCTTGGCAGAAATGAACAGCATTATTCCCAAAAACAACCCCATTTTAGATAATCCTAATGGTCATGGTTGGAGATTCAGTCATCACTTGGTTCTGGCAAATGTCTTACTTCTCGAACAGAATTCAGGAATATCAGCCTGGTCTATGGCTTGTCCGCTCTCCACAGTATCTATACCTGCAAACCTATTGGCTTTCTTATTTTCATGTACAGGAATTTGATACTATATTTTTCAGCCCTGACTACTTCAGAGACTTCAACCACTGTCTTCTGACCCAGTCCATCTCTCTCTTTCTAAGGATACTCTAAGAAAACTTGCACGGTTGAAAGTCTGTGTCTCCAGCCATTATTACTTTGCTCACTGCTATGACCTACATAGTCAGACTACGTGTAGTCAAGGTGAGAGCACCAGAATCTTGCTTAACAATTCTAACTCCAACCTGAGCCGTAAAAGTCAATGAGCTTTTCACATGGGGGAACTACTGACCCATCTGTGGAAATTACAGCACCCCCCCCCCCCCCCCCCCCCCCACCAGAGGATTCTCACAGTTCTCACAGATCCATGCATGCACCTGCCTCCACAGTGGCCAGACTTTCTTGTCCACATTTTCTGTATAGTCAGATGCAAACAGAAAAGGTTGTACACCATTCTGTTGGGACTTGTAAATATTCCTCATCAGGTTCTATGTCCTTAAGCGAACACACCTGCTGAATCATGTCCTCAGCTTGATAATCCCATTTTTTTTTTTCTTTTTTACTTGCTATCCTTTCATTCTTAATTTCACCATGCAGTAAGTGTTGTGTGTCTTTGTTGACTCTAAGGTAGGCACATGCTCAGCAAATTTGAACTCTGTCCTCCATGGTTGTGAAATCAAGAAAGTTGCACATCCCCTTCCATGCTGTATCTTTTGTACATCAAAGTATAATGCGCATAGCCTCATTTTGTATCCTCTCCATCTGCTTATGGCTAAGAGTCAGGATCACCATCACATACCTAACGAAAGACAGGACCAGACCATGGTATAGGAGGCATAAGCGACACTACTCAAAGTTTGTGAATGCTTTCACTCTAATTCAGCTAAGCCCCACTTGGCTTTTGCTATCACCCAGAATATGTACTCAGTATAAGCAAGAGTTCGATTAAAATGCACCTCTAAGCTTATCTTTGCCTACATTCTTTCCACAATGACAATATTGTTTTTTATCCAGAGAGAACCATGTCACTGCTACCTTCGTCAGAGTGACCAATGCACAAGCTTCCCCACACCATTTGCTCATGCGACTGAGTTCCATTTGTAGTTCTCCAGCAACCTGCTTTTTGTCTCTACTGTGCTGACACACTAACACTCTGTCAGTGTACAACAAGTATCTTCCCCTGTCCTGTGTTCTGCTCACCTGTGATTCTCACAGTGTAAATGCTGAACAGCACAGAAATGGTGATTCCTGTGGCAGACTAAGATCTATAGTTGTAGGTTCAGAAGTCCAACTGCCACATCTAAACACTTCTCATTGGAAAATGGCTAAAACTGTCTTTAATAAGATGTGCAAGTTACTGACAGCTAGAGAGATAAACAACAACAAAACTGAGAATCACCAAATGTTATATATAGTCAGTCCTGCTTTTAGGTGCAGAAACTTAGATAATAAACAAGCAACCAGAAAATCCAATTGAGGATCTGGAGATGTGGGTATACAAAAGAATAGGTTGTATTTCATGGGGGGGGAAAAATAGTCCATTACAGAGGTTCTATAAAGGTTATAAATGAAAAGAGAATTACTGAAAGAAATTTAAAAAGAGATCACTGAACTATTTTGGTCACATTAAAAGACATAACACACTTTTTATTTTTTTTTAAACCATACAGGTAAAAAACCACACATGGTATTTCCTTGCTGAAGGCAAGACAGCAAGAGGTATGCAACCATACAAGTGGGACAACAACATCAAGAGATGGATGGGCATCAGTCTGAGAGAGTGTACAACCAGGACAAGAGACAGAGTGTGTTGGAGATCCATTACAGCCAATACAGAGGACACATTTTATACATCAAACTGTTACAGAATTAACATAGTTTTGTTTGCAAAATGTCAAGTCACAAGCATGTTAAACCTCCCAAGACATAATTTTTTTTTTTTTTTTTTTTTTTTCATCGAACACCGGCTGTGAATTCCAGTGGAAGGTCCCGGTTAATCCTCCGCTTGGACTTTTGGCCTTCACCTGGACCTGATTTTTGCGTGTACAACCGTTTTTTATTTCCCTGCCTCTTGGGCAGCTGTACGCCGACTTCGAAGGAAGACGTCAGGCCTATTTCTAGGGTGACTGTGGCCATTGTTTTGTGTGGGTCGAGACTTTGCCTGATTTGTGTGGTGTCCGCCTTGTCTCCTTCGCCGCAGGTATTGCCCCCGGAGTACCCCTTTGGGGCAACCCCCTGTGGAACAGTTGGCCCTCAAGGGAAGGCAGGGGCAGATCATGGGCATTCCCCGCCATCCAAGGAGGCTTCCATGCATGCAGAGCCGGCACATGGCGCTCTGGTTCTGGGCTCACCCAAGGAATCGTCACGTCCTACACATGCCTGCTTAACCTCACAACCGTATCAGGCCTACCGCTCGACAGGGGCTACGCCCTCTGGAAGTCAGCGGGGAGCAGCCCGTTGGTTTTGGACTTTTGTGACCACACAGATAGGTACATTAGCCCGGCAGAATTTCACATCCTGAATCAGGCATATCGTTATCAGTTTTGTCCCAACACTCGGGCGAGTGGGGTCTTTGGGTGTGGACATTCGGCCTTTTTCATTTCAGTGCAAATTTTGATGGTCAGATTTTGATCCGTATGATCTAGTTTTGTCGGACTTTTAGGCTTAGCCATCCGGTGGATGGTTGCTGTTGTGGTGTACCACAGCGCGGTGACGACGACACTGAGGGTTAACCGAGGATGTACGTGACTGGCCAGCCTATGGATGGTTGCTGTTGTGGTGCACCTCAGCGCGGTGACGACGACACTGAGGACCAACCGAGGATGCACAAGGATGGCCAGCCCATGTATGGTTGCTGTTGTGGTGCACCTCAGCGCGGTGACGACGACACTGAGAATTAACCGAGGATGAGCATTGAGCAATGTTCTCTTTACTCAGCAGTCTTTTAACCAAGGGTTGTGATTTTAGCTGTACTTTTGTCGAACCTACTCATGTTCCTAATGAGTTTTGATAACATTTTTCACCCAAGCGTTTGGGGGCGGGCTGATGAGAGCCACAAGGACACATCACCTCTGGGGGCCGCCAAACTCCGAGATCCCCTGACAGCTCTGTTAATGCTCATTTGAGACATTATCCGTGGCGCACGACGAGGACGTGCTGTAGGGGTCTTGCGTGAGGTTCCGTACAACCAGGATAGTAAAGGACTGGCGCCCGAGTGACGTACGGAGTATCTCCTTATACACATCATGTTGGACTTAACTTCCCCTCACGCCTGTGACATAAATCACCGCGCCACCCAAGACATAATGAAGTTGTAAACAAATGTCTTAAAACCATGATACATACAAAGATCTCGAATATACATCAGCATTGCTACAAAAATGTAGTCAACCAAATCAAAACCAATGCCATCGCCGAAGATTGCATCCCAAAGCATTAACAGATCTTGCATGGGGAATTCTCTGCCAAAAAGTAAGCGTAGCCAACGACTGAAAAACAAAAACAATAAAGAAAACATTACTAGGAAATTTTAATAAACCTATCAGCTCAACTCTCTTTTACAAAAGTTCTGACCTGCACTCTAGTGGTAAACCCCAGTTCTGAGCAATTACTATGCTGCATCTTCCTCTTCTTCTTCACTTCCTCTTTTACCGCTGTGGGTGTCGAGGGAGATATAAGGTTCTGTTTCTAGCTCTTCTGGCCGCCTCGACCATAGGCACATCGTGCTGTTGTAGAGTTTCTCTGATGTTATCCTTCCATCTTGTTCTTGGTATACCTCGTGTTCTACGTCCTTCTTCTCTTTCCATGTATGCTTTGTATGGTATGGTGTCACAAGGCATTCTCTCTAAGTGGGCAAACCATTTCACTTGCTGTCTTCGTATGTAATTTAGAATTGGTTCTGTGCCCACTTTTTCTCTTATGATCTCATTCCTGATCTTATCTCTTATGGTCACTCCTACAGCCCTTCTCAGACATCTCATTTCCATGGTTACTAATTTTCTTTCATGGTTTGTTGTGAGTGACCATGTTTGGCACTGGTAGCACAGAGTTGGAATAAAAATGCTTTGAATAAGATGTATCAATAAGTGTAAAACAAACAGCATCAAAATCAGTTACATAATCCACTAATAGTTGTTGAATTGACTTCAGTTTGTCCTCGATACCACCCTCTGAACTCCCCGCTGATAGTAAGTAATGCACTGGCAGATGTCCCTTTATTGTAGTTAGTTAAACTTACTTAGTCAACAGATTATCCTCATTGCACATCAAACCATTTAGTCCATAAGTGCTTAGATCCCCTCCTCAGTAAATCCTGCAGTGTGTAGGGGCTGACCACTTTCATTCTGTGTTGGTTTCTTTTTCTTCTTTGGCTTCCTTCACAGTGCTCTTGTCTAGCCACGCCTATCAACTTTCTTATTTTGTGTACATGAAAATGATACTATATTTGTCAGCCCTGGCTGCTTCAGAAACTCCAACCACTGTCTTCTGACCCAGCCCATCTCACTCTTTCTGAGCATACTCACTGAGTTCACTGAGAAAACTTGCGTGGTTGAAAGTCTGTGTCTCCAGCCATTTCTGCTTTGCTCACTGCCATGACCTACATAGACTTCTTGTAGTCAAGGTGAGAGCAGCAGAATCTTGCTTAACAAATCTAACTCCAACCTGAGCCGTAAAGTCCATGAGCTTTTTTCCATGGGGAACTACTGACCCATCTGTGGAAATTACAGCACCCTCCTCTAGAGGATTCTCACAGATCAAAGCATGCACTTCTGCCTCCACAGTGGCCAGACTTTCTTGTCCACATTTTCTGTCTAGTCAGATACAAATAGAAAAGGTTGTACACCACAGGACAAGAGACAGAGCGTGCTGGAGATCTATTACAGCCAACCTTCAGTGTGTAGACGACCCCATATTTGTGATGACAGACCAGGTGTTGGAACAAGAGGTACAGGAGTTATCCTTTGTTCCATAAATGCAGCAGCCACTGCTTTTATGGACATAGTGGAAACTACTACAAGCCATGTAGCCAACTGTGAGCCATTAGAAGCAAAGTGGCTAGTATCATTGCCTACATATACCGCGGTTTTATGGTTAAATGTCTAGTAGTGGATGGAAATCTTTCTGAACCAAATGGCACTGTAAAGTAAAGCAAAGGACCCTTCTTACACCAGTAACATAGTAACTCATATTTGTGTAGACCAATCTGCACTTGGTTTTGCTCAGCTGTTAGTCTGAGGTCAAGGTTCCAAGTTCACTGCAGACGAGTATTCCCACAACTGCTTCATTCCCATGCTATTGGATATCATTTAAAATGTCCTTCGCTGTCCTATTTAAAAACTAGTGAGAGACACATCAGTCCCAGCAAAATCTTGAAGCTCACACAAGTAAATGCATGAAGCAGCCATCAGATGTGCCAATAATAACAGTCTCACAATCAGAATTAGTGTTCACTGTTGATGCAAACAGGCAAATTCAAAAGTTGGCATTTTACCTGCAATAACAAAAAAAAAAACATTTCACATGACACCCACATCTCACACGAATCACTCAGCTTATTATATGTCTATCCCTTTATGTCCAATACCCCTGAAGGTGTGCACAAGGGATCTGGACTATACCAAATGTGACCAGTTAAATCTAAGCTTGTATGCTTACATGCCATAAATCTGAGGTACTATCTCCAGTCGTTCCAAGTGCTGGTGTAGCTCAGGGTCAAATTTTTTAAGAATGTAGTCTTGAATTCGAGTGAGCTTTGTCACTATTGCACTTGAGGGATTGAGGTCTTGAGATTTAGAAAATGGTGTCGCATTGATCATCTCCAAGTTTCTCATTGAGCCACTCTGCATTAAGATGTGAATAAAATGTAGGTACTGTTAGTGATTTGTTTAACAGTTATAGAGAAACAACATGCATATTACTTTAACATGAATTGTCTGTCATTTGGATCATGATTTACTCTCTATTTATTTCCCTCTAGTTTATAATTACTGTCAGCTCTGTGGCTAAGTCGATGCGAACGCTTTGTAATGCCAGGGTGCCGGGTTCGATCCCAGCTGTGGGCCATGCGCCTTGCATTGGTTTCGAAGGTGGTATCAGGGGCCCAACCATCCAGAAAACAATGGCAAACTACTGGATGTAAATTTGCCTAGAGAAACCACACAACAGCCAGGGGCTGTTGGGGTTGGTTCTGCAATGTCCTGTAAAGGATACGCATCTAACCATTTATAATTACTGCTAAATAATAACAAATTCAACCATGCACTGAAACTGCACTTTTTTCTTTTGCCATTGCTTGACGCAGATCTATGGGATGCTGGTCAATTGCCCAAGTTAAAATAAAAAATATGTCTAGGCAACTTATCCACATCAGGTCAACCCATCTGAAGACCAGTATTGAAACCACACGATCATGTCACTTCACTGTTCCCCTCCTCAGCAATTTTCTTTAGCACTGCAAAAATCTCAAACTGTTGGGTTTTTCTATGCTTCTATGATGTAGCAGTTGTTTTTTGCATACACTTTTCAGTTCATAATTTTCAAGAACTGTGTAAATACCAGTAAAGCTTTAACTTTGATCATTTTTCTGTGCAGCTCAATTCTTTGGATCCATAGTCTATGCCGTGTGGCATTGGTAGGCATGTCTGTCCACAACCTTCTGTCTCATGTACTATCAATCAACTTTGACACAGATGATCTCCCATGCCATGATGTCAAAGTGTCCGGTATCTTTTCTCTTGCTTTCCCTCTGCCTCTCCTTCCCTCCAGCTATCCTACTGTCATGATGTACTCCACTATTCGCCTTCTCATCACTTGATTAAAGAATGTAGAGTGCCTCTGTTCTGATATGGGCAATCAGTTCTCTTTGTGAGTCAGATTCTTTCAAGACATCCTCATTACTCTTTTTATCTGTCCAGAATATTTCATCATTCGTTTATAAAACCACATCTCCGCAGCCTCCAAACAATTTTTCCCTAATCTACCAACTGACCTATCAAGATAGGATTTATATAGCTTTTAAGAATAGCCTTACAGCCCCAAAAAACAGTAAACCAATACAGAACTGGTGTTATCAGTGGCCGCATGCTCAGGGAAATAGTTACCATGAGATGTGAGCGATTACAGACTTGCTGGATGTGCAGTGAGGATGATAAACTAACAGACAGGAAGAATGAAAGCAATAGATCCATTTTATAATAGTATGAAAAGTATGAGCTATTATTAGGAATAATAATACATATATTCCCCCCCCCCCTCCCCGTTCGGGTTCCGGGGCCCTATTGTGGGGAAAACAAGAATAGACCCACTGCCTCCCCAAAAGCATGTCGTAAGAGTCGACTAACTGGGGAGCTTCCTTTGAAGTCGAAGTGCATCTGCCTGAAAGGCAAGGAACCAGCAGTCTGCATTCAATAGAATCAGATCTGTAAAACTGATGCACATGCAACACCAAGGTTCTGGAGCAGGACTGCAGTCCAGAAGTGGACGAACAACCAGAACTTTACGCCAGAATGTACAGCTGGTGAACGCAAAGAAGAAGAATACATATATTAAGGTAGTAATTCTGATATTGTGAACAAAATATGGTATATTAGCGAGGCATCAGCAGCTTTTGAAGCCTGTACAAAATATGGAGTAAAGAATTTGTTTTTAAAGATTTGGGAACAAAGTTACATATTTTCAATTTTAATATTTCAGTTATTAAAACTGCCAGTTAAAGAGATCCACTAACAATATGGAATGAAAGTAAAATGTATTTGAAAACAAATGCCTGAGAAAAGTGATGAAAACAAAATGGTATGAATTCAAGAAGGAGGAAGAAATCAGAGATATGTCTGGATGACTAGTTTCAACAGTTATAAGACTGAGAAAATTGTGGTATGCTGGATACATCCTGAGAAGAAACAAGCACAGAATCACCAAACAGATTGTGAAATTTTGGAAACAAAGGAACTGAAGAAGAGAGGATGTCCAAAAGAAAAAACAAGGCAAACATTGAGAGGAGAGATGTCAGAGCTGCTGGACTGGACTAAACACTTTGCTGAAAAATTTGATGATCAAATTTCCGGTCATTTACCTTAGGTTGACCTGATTCGTTGATCGCCAAACAAGTGATATGTAGAAAGTAAGCAGATGTCCTTACTTATATAGTATTTAAGCTTCATCTGGTTTTTTAAATTCCAAGATGGCTGCACCTATGACTGGTATCGTTAGAGCCGTAACGAGCATTGTGTTCAGTTAAATTTTATTAATTTTTTGGTTACAAGTGCATATTCAGGTATTTTATCATGTCTGATGATTAAAATCAGACTCACGGTACAGATGACTGTGACTATACCATGTGGCGCTGAAAATTATAATTCCTAGCTAAGTACAGATACAACAGGGAATTATATCACAACTAAACGTAGTGACAACAAGGATGGACTTTATTCTGGAGGTGACATAGGTACATCTGAAGGAATAACTAGGTGTGGTACAAGAAACTATAACATTTATAGAGAAAATAAAAAATAATGACAATAATGCAATGGACTGTTGGCCAACAAAGCATTAATTTCCTATAAAGTCATACTATTTATTATCTATAGAAAAACCTTAATACCTCTCATTCAAAGTAAACAAGGCCAATAAATAAACTAAGAAATAATATTAATATTATGGGCAGAATAATTTAAATGAAAAATTATTATCAAAATATCAGATGTAGACAAGGTGAATACCTTTAAAAAAAAAAAACACTGACCTTAGAGTGGCTATAGAACATGTCTCTAGACAAGTACCACGGCTCTACTGTTTCCATCACTTGACAGAACATGGTGCTAGCAGAACATGAGAAAAAAAACTTCTTGTGCACTTGAATATTTTAAAAGTAACAAAGAACCAATAACATTTTAAGACAGTCAATTAAATATCGTTGCAAGTCCGATTCGTAATCCAACGTACCGTTTTTTAAACCCACTGATGGCGTAAATTTTTATTATGGCATAGAGCGTTGCAGGTGGACCCATCCTAAAATGGGTACCAAGATGGCTGTCATGGGGAAGTAAAGACGACCGGCGTAATGCTGACCCCATTACCCATCCAGTGCCGATTGGTCTGTAAAAATATGGGACGCTCTTCCCATATACACGATACGCCTAAGGCGTGAAAAGAGATCTTTACTTACTTTACTTTCTTTACAATTAAATATGCCACATTTTTTCACTCATGTGTCTTGTAAGTAACATATGCCATAGCCCTTAGTTTAATTATAAACATGGCTACGCTAGTCATCTTTAACTTTGAACCTCTGAAAAGCTTGCAAGTTTTGTAATAAAAAAGAAACATTTATAAGAAAAGTAGAGTAGCTCTTAACCAAATCATGAAGAAAACATCATGAGAGCATGAACAGTGGTCTAAGACACTGTGCAATCAGAGAAAGAGACAGAGCAAACTAGAGATCTTATGCAGCCAACTTTCATTGTGGAGATAGCCCATCATTGATAGAGGTAGCTGCCCCATCTCACCTCATCTCAATGATCGCCATCTACATTATATTGGTTTAACTCTTTGAGTCCCAAGGAACGAATCATACACTCATAGGTTCCTATCTAGAAGCCCAATGAACGCAAGATGCGCAGATTTTATGTCTCTTTTGACTACCCTCGGGGCTTCCAACACTAAACCCCCCTGGGATTCAAAGAGTTAAGGCACATTCAACAGATTCATGACTAACTCCTATATCTACAGCCCAAACCCCTGTTTGTTACACAGTAGACCCACCTAGTGGTGTGTCAAATTTATGGAGATACTGAAACCTGACAGTCACAAACTTAGTTTTGCATGTTTCCTCTCTTTACAAGCCAGACTGCACCTGTACAAATAACAACTGCATGATCCCTTGAGGAAGCACTGAGAAATCACCTTGCTGTTCCAGAGCATTCTCTGTTTTGTATTAGCAGCACTGAGCTCAAGAAAATTATCATCATATTCAGACACACATTTAACAAATCATAAACCACTTAAACTCAAATCATCTTTTATTCCTAGGCGATGGCTCACAACTATTTATAAAACAGCTTACACATGTAAGGGAGTCCCAGTGGCGAAGCGGCTAGATGCTCGCCGCGGATCGGAAGGTCGTGGGTTTGCTCCCTGGAAGAGCTGGACTTTTCTCAAACATGACCTTGGCTCCCAGGTTGACCCAGCCTTGAGTGGGTACCGGGTGCAGTCCCTTGACGTAGAGGTGGCTGGCGTGATGCTGACCACATCACCCATCTTGTGCCGATTGGTCTATAAAAATATAGGTCTAGCCCTATATGCCCTATACGCCCTAAAGGCATGGAGAAGGGTACTTAATTTTTTTACTTACACATGTAATCGTTTAACCTTGTTGTATGCAAAACCTTTTTAAATTATTATTCGTTCAAATTCGACAGGGACGACAGACTAAAATTATAGAAAGTAATGGCTTGATATGGAGTAAGTGAACACCTCACTGCAGTTTGCAATGAGATTCCTGGGGATCACTACTGAGACGATAAACAGCCAAACGGTGAACAGGCATGCACTTTGGCACCAGAGGCCAAGCAATATAGAATAAGACCTTGTGTCCTGAAGTTAGTCCTTTAGACACCATTTTGGCAAAACTGTAGGAGACCATAGGCCTTTTTGTTTGTGAATTCTAGACCATGAGCCTTTTTGTTTGTGAATTCTATCTTCAAACACTTGTCCTATGACCTGCCATGCCTGCCTTCAATGTAGATATGGAACATGATTTATGTTGAACAAAACTAAATTTACACCGACATCTTTTGTACTTACTATGCATCATGCTCAAGGTATGCTGGGTCCATTACTTCCTTTATGACAGTTCTGAATAAGGAAAGTGTGGGAAAGTCAAGTTAGAACACAGAACTAATTTATTCAATTCACACAGCAAATTATGCAAATTATGCATGCATGGAAAGTGCTTACAGAAACATCAGAAATGTAATGATGATCAAACTGTCTCAATGTCAAAAGACAGCCCTCGCTTGGGGATTACACACTTATGGTGGAACACTCTTGCAACTGACCACTGCATCATGAGCATGACAGTAATATTATCAAGACTGTTCGGGCATGTGAAAATAACCATCAAATATGCATCGAAGAAATATTTTGACACATCTGCTGTGAAAATAACCATCAAATATGCATCGAAGAAATATTTTGGCACATGTGCTGTGAAAATATGAATCAAATATGCATCAAAGAAATATTTTGGAACATCTGCTTTAAAACAAATTGGTAATTAATCAAGGTTGTCATCAGATATGTGTCCTCTTCTTTTCCCCAAAGGAGAATAGGCCCTCAACCAACTCAGGCCAAATCCTTCTATCCTTTGCAAGCAGCTCCCCCTATGTCCTCCTTATCCTTTTTAAACTCCCTCTCTAGCTCCTGTCTCTATGTGATTGTTGGTTGGGCATGTTTACACAAAGTTTAAAGATTAAAAGTTGAGTGGACCAACTTTAGTCCATTGGGTTTTATCTTTCATGGTTCAGTCTTTCTTTGCAGAGGTTGTTAACCATTTGCAGAGAGCTACAATCACAAACTTCACAGCTCATAAAACAATCCCACAACCTTTAAAGTGGCAGGCAAACTGCTTGATCACTTTGTCAAGGAGATTCTCAAAACACTCAGGACAGTTAACATTTTTGTCCATAAATCAAATATTATATATGACCATAAAATACTGTGATGGACAGATGTTGTATAAACAATAAATTCAGACTAATTAACTTGAATCAACATACATATTTTTTGTCCTGTGTTCATTCTGTGTCCTCAAACTGAGGCAAAATGTCAGCTATCAAAACTTAACGCTTTTACATTATCTGGGTAGCAAATGTAATTGAAAGAATGATGCACCTGTACATCGTAACCATTCTAACTATGGCAATATGTATTGGATTTTAAAAAACGACTAAAGAGACTTAATCATAATGGCAATCCCAGTGTGCGGAATCCTAAATAATCAGTAAGGTAACACATTCTTAACACATATACACATTGTTTCAAGAATGATGCATCCTTGCAACCTAAATAAAGCCCAATAGTTTACTTCAATAAATAAATGCTTCAAAAGTATTTACATTTAGGTTTCAAGTTTGTAAAAAAGACCTTATTCATTGTTATGTGGATATCATAAGTGCTCCATTAACCTCATATAGATTGTACAAGGGAGATTGGCTTTAAATGAAAAGCTTAAAAGTGTGACAGAAATTCCAATACCCATGCTTTTGTCTTGTAACCTGTAAATAACATTTTTTTTTGGGGGGGGGGGGGGGGGGGGGGGTCAAAAATCACCCTAACTCCTAGTGGGTATCAGGTCTATAAAATATAGGTTTAGCCCTATATGCCTAAAGGCGTGGAATAGGGTCCTGTACTTGATTTTGCTCAATGTCTAAACCAGTGCTTTTAAACTAAGTTTAATCAGGGGCAAACAATTTGAAAATGGGAATTGTCGCAGGGCCAGAGGCTCGAACCCCAGCGCCGAAAGATCATTATTACATACAACTGGCATTGATCTGTGGGCTACTTGCTAGGCCTCTGAAAGCTATCTGTGGCCCATGGGTCGGCAGTTGAACAGCCCTGGTTTGAACTGTACACTACACTTCACCTGTTGACTTGATCCACTAGATCCTATACCTCCTGCTCGCTTCCTGCCACTAACATTGTGTCATCCGCATTTTTTAAGATTGTATATCATTTTTTCCATTATTATTCAGTCCAAGAATTTCTCCAACTTGTTCAAAAAATATTCTCCGTACCTAAGCTAAAAAAAGCTTGGGGATAAACACACATCCCTGATGTACTCCTCCTCCTGTTATCTCTATATGTGGTAAATCAATGTTGTTAGTCTAAATGTTGCTATTTGTTCCCAATAGAGGTTACTAATAATTCTGGGATCCTTTCCATCTAATCCTTTACAACCATAACAAACAACTATATGCTGTCAGCTCTCAAACTCAACCTGCACCCATGGTTTCACACTACGCTGACTGAATATGGGGGGGGAGGGGGAGGGGGGGTGCTTTATATGTACTTCACCTTGCCAAAGATGTCCCATAGGGCTAGCAGAGGTATTTTTTCCTTTGATGGAAGGTACCCATTACCTGATAAGGTGGCTTATATATGAGATGAAGCAGTAAACAAACAAAAGTGATATGTTGCTATACTGAAAATTAGTTTTCAGAGAGAATCAAATAAAAAAGAAAAACCAAATGCTGGGGTAATGTGCTATGCCATGCAGTAAAACAAAACTCTTTAACAAAAAAAAAAAAAAACATTTTTAAAAAAATGTTATGCCACGATGCATTTGAAAACTTGTAATATGCAGTTCATGTCAAGAAAGGCCACAGCTGAAATGTCAATCTGCGTTGTGCACGTTTTTCTGCTTCCCCATTTTGTTAAGCTTTTTAGTCACAGTTCTTACCAGTAGTGGAAAGCAGCAAGGAAATTTTTACGAGAACAAATATGATGACACACCTCGGAGTAAGGTTTGATCGCAGCCTGTCCTTTAAAGATAACATAAGCGTGCAAAGGCCTGTCAGCAATGTGGGTCCTGGCCGCTGCTAACACTGAGCAGAGACTGCTTCTGTTCCAGGGACTTGTACTTTCTCCGATCGAATATGCTCTAGCCATCCTCACTGTCAGCCATATTCAGACTGAAAGACTTGAGAAGGTGCAAAATGAAGTAATGCGCAATTTTCTGGGGTGCACTGGAGACACCTCTTGTGTAGCAATGAGGTACCTTCTTTACTTCCCTATCATGAACTACAGGATCAAGATCTGGAAGGCTCATGCATACTTCAAGATAAGCTCAGATCTGAAGCACCCTTTGCACCACATGCTCTTCAAGAAAAAGGGCAATAGGATTAAAAGAGGCAAATCATGACTGGGTAGGACAGAGGATGACATCATGCAGGTTTGCAGCCTGACAGATATCCATCCAGGTGAGGAATGGATACCAGAGTCTAAAACCCCCAATCTCACATTCTCCTGTGTCGTGATGCTCAATAGGAGTTGTCAGGAGCAGAATCAAGCTGCTGTTAATGCTGAGGTATGCGCGCTTATCAGTGACAAGTCAGATGAGATAGATGTGGTGATCTTCACAGACGGGTCCGTTATAAGGACATAAGTGTGCATAAGTATTTACAGCTTGCTCTTCAGGCAGAACAGTTCAAGAAGCCAGCAGTACCTTCTCCATGACCACCAGGAGCATGACGATGGAAGTGATAGCGGTGACACAAGCTTTCATGTGGCTAGAATCACAGGACTATTCCTGTGTGTGTGCTGATTGATTCTTTGAGCATGATCTGGCGGATTGAGGCAGGCATGTTACGCAGACCGTGGTTTGAGTCATTGCAAAACTCTCCTGTGTCCTTCATATTCATCCAAGGGCATACAGGTGTCGCTGGTAATTAAAGAGCTGATAGACTAGCAGGTGCTGCATTAACTGAAGATAGCAGGTCCATGGATCACACAGACATTGTATTGTCATTGCCCTTAGAGAGATAAGACGTTCTGAGGATTTTGGAAGCAACGTGTCCATATCACTGCTAAGAATATGAGAATTGGGAGTAAAGGTCGGCACAGCCAAGCATGAGAAGCACACTGGACTCACACAAAGTTATGTTAACCAAAATAGCCTGGCACCATTAATCATGCAACACTGATGAGCATGTTAAGAGGGAAATCTGAGCACCTATGGATGTGTCTGGAGTGCTGTGAAAATAATCTAACTCATAACTCAGTCACAGTTCACTAGATTAATTCCTTGGAATTAGCTTGACTGCAGCTGCCCCTATTTTCACCACTTTTTAAAGATGCGGCATGTTTTTATCAAAACTGAAAATGAGAAGCAAAAATTTACTATGATGCCTCAAAAAAGGAAGAAAAAAAAAACAGAACATACTAAAAATGTAAAACAAAAAAAATAATTAGAATGTCAATGCTTGCTCAAAATAAGCATTTTTCAAACTGCCCTCCAATTGAAAATAAAAATAAAATTCTAACCTGGCATCTTCAGAACAGTAACTGAAAAGTCAGAGCAAAGAAGAGAACATTAGGTGGAACATTCATCACAGCGAGGAATACAATATTAATCTCAGACGCATTTCTCACAAGATAGTACAAGATATATGAATACAAGAAGGAAGTCGTTGTTACATTTATATTGTCCTGATTGGTGGAAAGTTTGTAGATGTGGATGCGTAATAAATAATGAAAAAGGTACTGACAAATCAAAAAATAAATAAATTAAGTGTCATATCCACATTAAAGGTTCAGCTGTAATGAGTCTGCAGTACCCTCTGACATAAATCGTTATGATTCATTCAAAATAGCTTTTCAAATCCATCTCTGAATGTTGTTCCATCCCTTGTAATACAATGTTCATCTATTTTTGTTGTTAATCATGTCTTAGTTTTCTGTAGGTTTATGTCTTTTAACCTTAAGTCTCATAAAGATCTTTTTAAAACAATGACCTTTTCACAAATGGCATTAAATAGGAACACATCCTTATATTTCTCTAAAACTCTACCCTAAGAAACTACAGGAAGAGAAAAGGAAGCAGATGAAGCTGGGAGTCTTCGTTGGTTTTTATAAATAATCTAGGCTGTTAAACCTATGATAATTGAGAAGACAGGCAAGCATGCTAACCACTGTGATACTGTGGTAAAGTAAAAAAAAACAATTTTAATCTGTTTTGTAACTTTTTTTTTTTTCCAGTGCCAGAAACAACTAACCATAGATTGACTGGGTACACTACATGTGGTTCACACTTCTCTACGTGTCCAGTGCCAGAAACAACTAACCATAAGTTCACT